CGGCATCAAAGCCGACGCAACGAGCGAGGATCTTTCCCTCGGCATCAACAGTGGCGCAAGAACCACCGTCTAGATCGGCACGGCGAGCGAGGGCAGCAATGGCGGTAATGGTGGCAGCGTTGGAGGGGTCAAATCCGACGCAGCGAGCCAAGATCTTGCCCTCAGCATCGACAGTGGCGCATGAGCCACCGTCAAGCTCGGCACGGCGAGCGACAGTGGCAGCGTTGGCAGCATCGAAACCGACGCAGCGAGACAGAATCTTGCCATCGGCACCAACGGTGGCACATGAGCCACCATCGAGATCAGCACGGCGAGAGACAGTGGGAGCCGAGAGGCCGGTAGAGGCCAGAGCAAGAAGGATACCAGCGGAGAACTTCATTTTGTTGATGAGTGTTTGATGATGGTGCTTGTAATTGCTTTCGGGTGCTTCTAAAAGAAGAGATGACTGATCTTGGAGTGGTGATGGTGGAAGGCAGTGATGATTGGAATAGTGATGTGTTGAAAGAAGAGAAATGTCGAGTTGTGGGCATGTTTTATATTCGAATGAAGTGACCATCTCGAGGAACTTACCGTCTTATCTCTGGTGAAAGCGTTGTTGTCTGGATCCCATGATGACCATGGCCCGAGGTCGTATTGGGTTTCGGCTGAGCATCCATCCGCTCTTCTGAGCCAACGAGAGTGTTTACCCACTTACCATGCTTCTCTAGACATCAAGATGTGATATGATAATACTGTTTCGCAGAATCCTACAGGATGGAGATTCAAAGTTCGAATACAGAGTCATAAGCATACAACACCACCAGTCCATGCTTTGTCTTGTCTTATTCCAGCTAGCAACTAATCTTACTCCACAGTTCGTGCCTCCTGGGCACTTGAGTATAGTCGTGATAGCAGTGTAAAAGTACCAAACATAGAGACCGGGAGACCATGCCTTCAACTCCTTTGCCGTATTACGCGGTGCTCGGCTTTCACTTCGAGTGAAGAGAGAGGCCGGGGTCTCGTGCTGACATGATATTTACTAGAGGTATAAGAGAGATAAGAAAATATTAATGACTTGGTTTCTTAAAAAGGGTAGATTTAATTACCATTAAATCAGATTTATAAATAGATTGAAATATTAGCAAAATATTCCCTGCGATGTAATACGTTCGGTTCACAGGCCTCATGCAGTTCTGTGCCACTTGATAGACTAGTTGGCATAGACACCCAACATTCCTTCGGTGAGCACCCCGGCAATCATCCGGATCCCTTTTATACCCTCTCATAAGTAGAACAAAGGACCAGCATACTTTGGATGGTGCAGACCATCCTCTCCTAACTTTTCAACTCTTTTATTCTTGCACGAGCGCCCGAGTTATCTCTCTCTACTTGTCCGAGGCTTGAGAAAAATGTCTTATCTCAAATCCTTCATGGCAAGCCAGAAGGAGGAACAATATGGCCGCCTCATGCATGACGATGAAGAGAGCGAGAGTTCAGACAAGATTCCTCTTCCAAGACCTCGCGGCAGAGGCAGAATCTCTTCTCTAAGCTGCTTGATCGTATCGAACATTGTTTTGGTGCTCGTCGTTCTAGGACTGCTGGCTCGAAACTATCACCAAACCTCCGAATCAACTATATCAATCCCTTATACTGGAGTTAGCCCTGCACAGCTACTCCAGAACCAGATTGGTGTCGCCTCGCATGTCGTTCAGACCTATCGATTCTATGAGGAGAATATCGATGACATGGACTTTCTGAAGGGCGACCCCTACTGGAGCGCCTTATTTCCTAGTAAGACAATCACAACAGTCTATATGCTTATTTTGATCATGGGCTTACACTCGATGTAGAGGGAGATGGGCAAGTTTTGCTTGAGGACGAGATTGTGGAGTCCTACAAACTGCCGCCGTCCATCAGAATTCCGGCCAAACAAAACCTTACTGCTTACTTCATGGCGGGGTACCATTCCCTACACTGCATTGTAAGTCTGGAGCTAATTCGTTGATACTCTGAACCATGATCTAACTCGAAAAAGGCGGGCATTAGACAGGTACTAGGCCAATTCATGGCAGCGCATATCACAGGTGGGGACTACAACATCACTGAGCACAAATGGCAACACACGGTGCATTGCTTGGCGGACTTGCGTCAGGTATTGTTTTGTAACTTTGATGAGACTCTTTTGGCCTTCGAAGAACATATTCACCCTGGATACCACCAACAGAAGGTGTGTAAAAACATGGCTCCTATCGATGAATGGTTGGAGTATAATTACATTGGAAAGTTCTAAGGGATCATTCCATTGTGATTGGCTGTCATGTACATACTTTATATGCTCAGGACTACCACTAGATTGTTTGCTATATTTAAATGGACATGATAACAATATGACTGTACTTATTCGCTACCATTTGTGAAGATGGCTGTAATTGATAGAACGTGACGAAAGTTTACCTAATCACACAAATTTCCGAAGGTTAAACACTCAGTAACTCAGTTTCAATTAAAGTTCAAAATCATCTATCGAAGTTGTAAAAAAATCAGTCAAATTGATTGCTTTGTCCTGCCAACTCTACCATTGAGTGAATGCCTATGAAATATGACAGAAGAAGAGGAAAGAATGGAAAAAGAAAGTACGAACGTGAATGGTGTTACGAAATGATGCTAGGCAAGATTGCATTGCAGAGAAAGACATAACTGATTAATGGACTAATTCATAGACTGATTAGAACATAGACTACATGAAAATGGTGAATGAAAGTGATTTAGGAGAAGACGAAGGAAAACCAAAAATCGAGCATGATGGGGGATTTGCGAAATACCCAAAACTCTGTGTCTGTGTGGGCTGCAGAACTGAGGCTCCGGAAGAGAAACCGTGAGTATTCCCGGGTCTGAGGAGTTCTTCTTGCATTGGACAACAGTGATTACATTATCGGCGGAGGATTAAGATCCTAGATGGTGTTGATAAAGCTTGCAGCGCACTGAGCACTTCGGGAGAGAGTGTGTGAATATTTCCGGAGTTTGTTGTGCATTGGATAACAGTGATCAGACTCTTGACGGAGGATTAAGATCCTAGATGCGGTTGGTAGTGCTTATAGAGCACTAATCACCAAGTGGAAGGTGCTTTGTGTCACTGAGGATGCTATCGTGAACTGAGCCTATTGGTACTTTTACGCTGCAAGGGTGTTTTGCCGTGCTTTGAGGCGGCCGACAGTGACTATAGCAGATCCAGCTATGCCAAGAACGTACATATCTTTTCAAAGCGTTAGACTATGGAATACTCAAATACAGCTATATTTAGGAGCTGGAAGGAGGGCATGGACCTATGTCGATGTCCGGGTACCTAGGTTGGTGGTGATACAGGGTTCCAAGAGCACCTCAATGCGTGTCCGTGCCTCTAGATAAAACAAAAACCGACAAGCAACCGGAACAACGGGAGACCGCCATTTGGATGCTACCGAACGGTGTGGCTTGATTTGAAATGCGGAGAGCACCATTGTGATTGGGGAAATCCCATGGCTGCGGCTGCTTATGTCAGCTCTCAGGTCCATTGCTTGCCAACACTACCGTGGAGTCAGCCACGACGACGATTCCTTGCCGAAGAAACGCTGATCAAATCATGCCAATTAAAATTCGATTGCAAAACGCCATCCCTCAAGTAGTTAGATATTAAGCTTCCCCCCCCCCCCCCCCCCCCCCCCTTCGGCCTCCCTGGCCATGGTCCCTGCATGCTATTTGCTGTAAAGGAGGCCACTAGCTCGTCCGCCCTGGGACGATTATATGTAGAAGGATGAGGTAAGCAAAGTCATCACATCCTATGTGGTAGGACGACATTAGCAAAGGGAGATAACGAACCAATATGGGGTTAGAGCAAGGGTATCTGGATGATGAACGACATAGCCTAATATTATGTCTGATTAATCAGCTGACCAACTTGAAGCAGGGAGTAATGATATCCCCCGCCGAAGGAATGTAGGTGTATTGCATTAATCATGAAGCTTTGGCCGGCAAGCTCTTGCCGGGTACGCCACCGTAGGGCCGGGCGCCATCGTGCCACCGGACTCCGGGCTTAGCACCGCGAATGAAGCATCGCCGACAGGTCAGATAACTATCTGGAGTCGATACCATGTCAGGGGCTATCAGGAACCCAGTTTGAGTCTCTTTCGGGAAGGATGAGGTTGTAATAACGGCGAGGTGATTCGCCGTTTGACGCGATTGAGTATATTCCGTGCTTACATGCTCGAGACTGGCAACCCAAATCGGTAAGCGTGTGAATAGCCAAACCCGTGAAAGTTACTGCGCCGCGGGCCGTGTTCAGCCTCAGCCAGAACATGCGGGGTTGTGCCGTCGCTACTTGTTGAGTTGTCGCTTGGATATGTGTGTGTGTGTCTATGGGCAAGCTGGAGGATCGTCAACCCAGTAGAGTGGATTGCCTATTGTCTTTGATTAAGCTTATATGACCCGCTCTTGGCAAGCCAAACCCTTTCAAGCCTTTTCACTGTACTACGATAGTATGTAAGCCAACGCCCCCGCCCTTGTCAAGTACCGTCGGACGTATCCACTTGAACGACCGCTTTCTGGTCGAGGCCCTAGGTACATAGAGCACCCATGTAGGTACTTGCAAGAGGTATCGTATGATTGAACCATATGCACCCTGTGGCGTACCACCCCCTTGGAGTGTGATTGGTCAGTTCGCACAAAACATTCGCAAGCCCATGGCAACTTCAATACTCCGCTAAAGATTCAAGCGAACCACAGAGTACCACTACTCCACAGCCACCCAAAGGATGAAGGCAACAATGCCGTGCTTGAGCTGTTCTAACTCGTTTTATCCTACAAAACCCTTGACGAACTAGCGGAGTTGCTTATCACTTCTGTAGTAAAAGTGATAATCAAACATGGGCAATCGATGTACTTGACAAACGCGAAAATACCTACATCCCTAGTCTATCCCAGAAAGAAGGCCCTCGCATCGTTAATCACAGCTCCCTGATGGACTTGGTACTTTGTCCATAGGCAAATGCATAGTACTTTCAAAGGATCTTGGCAGCATTTCAGGGTCCTAAGCACAGGGGGGTTGAAACAAACAGATCTCTTCGTTAATCTCTAGTTGCATCCGACAGGCGCACCATGTTCAATGAAGGCTCATGATGAACAGCATCCTGCAGTCGTACCGCCACCATTGCAGCAACTAGCGCGGCCAACCCTCCAGCCCGCAAAGTCCATCCAACACCGTCCTTCGATGAGCCCTCAAGCATCCAGAAGATGGCGCTGCAAGCTGCAGCAGCCACGACTTGAGGTCCTGCTATGGCGACATTGTGTAGTCCAAGCACGACACCTGAGCGCCGCTCGCAGGCGTCGTCCGCCCCATTTCCGTGGTCATGTGGATCCTCTTCATCCTCGTCCTCTGACAAGTCCTCCTCATGCTGCATCAGTGGCTTGGAAACCATCCTGTCTCCACTATATTCCACGTCTTGAACAATTTGTGCACTGATGAGAGTGTAGGGCGCCCAAATGGTGATCGCCCAGCTAATGCCGCAAAGACCAACGAGCAGGTATACGCCGTTGACCGACGATGTGAATGCTGTGGCAAACATGCATATAGCAAAGAGGATCTGTGACATGATCCACATGTGTCGCATGCTTCGAGTTAATCTAGTAAAGGCTCTTGTAAGGGCATTTACATGTTTTCCTTGGTTGGCATGCTTGTGAGCAGCAGATAATAGAGTGCCGGCCACAAGCGCAACTAGTGCGAAGAGCATCAGTCCGAGTGATCCGGTTCTAGCCGCTCTAGTCTGTACGTCTTTGTTGAGGCCTTGTACGGCAGGCAAATCATTTTTGTCTGTTCGGTTAGTCTCGTAAATGCGATGGTCTGTGACGCGCAGTGTAGGCTGTACTTACAAGTCTCGCTGATATATGTGGTCACGTAGAAAAGAAATGGAAACCAACCCAGCCAAGAGAAGAATTGAACTTTGAATACCTGCTGCACCTGTCGGGGTAGACGAGAGAAGCTGGTACAGAGATACCACAGCTGAGCACGTACAGTATGTCTCGTGCCCTTCTCTCCTGTGTAGTCAGTGTAGAGTCCATCGTCACCCGGCGCCGCGTTCCGTTCCTCGGCAATCAAGCACGTTAGTCCCACGGACACAGCCAGAGTTACCGACGTGACCACGCATAGAATGTCAAACTGAGAAGTGCCTCCTAGAGCCCGCAGAACAGATATTCGCTGAAGGTCGACGTAGCCCAGGGCGTAGCTAAGGATATTCGATGCACTGACAACGATGCCTGCTACGGCGTTCGCTGTTGGCTGTTGCTCATGCGGACACATGTCGGCAATCAGAGCCCGAAGTCCCCCTTGTAATGGCTGCAAAGCAATGTTGAGAGCAACAATGAAGAAGACTGTTATGTTTGACGTTGCCACATTGACCGCCGCCTCCTGGGAGATGGCTTTGGCAGAAAAACCACTACCAGCACAAACGCGCACCGCGAGGACCGCCAGTCTCTTGGTCGAAGCCAGCCCAAGCAGTGATACAACGGAGGCAAAGGCACCCCACGCAATGAAGGGACGCCTTCTGCCCCAAGAAGAACGACATTGATCGCTACGGATACCGCAGTAGGGCTGTACAGTCATGCCTGCAACCGGCCCGGCCATCCATACTATGGCCTGGATGGACTTGCTGAGACCGAGATCCTTGAGATGTGCCTTGATGCCTCAATTAGCTTCGTGATCTTCATGATCAAATGAAAACGAATGCTGTTTTGCGTACAGAACCATTTGAGAAGATGAGAGCAAAAACGCTTTGCAAACTAGTGATTCATTCAGTCAACTTCATGTTTAAGAAGGTAACTAGGCATCGGTACTTACCCGCCAATACCTGCCGTCAAAAGGAATAGAAATCCAAGAGTTCTAGTCGGAGCAAAAGACGACTTGGAACCTTGAATTACTGGCTCAAGCTCGTACCATAGTATTTCATCTGGGTCGTTGTCAATGTCCCTGTTGAGGTCCATTGTGTTGAATTGCTGCAAAACGTCTGTAGTTATGAAAGTGATTCGACGAATGCTGAAAACGAATGTGGAAAGGACAGAATGGATTTGCTTTCATAGCCTCCATCCTTTGACATATTTGTCAGTCATAACCATCATCAGGGCTAAAAGTAGGCACTATAGCCCTGTCGATGTTGAATACCTACATACCTAGTACCTGGGTAGGTGGTCATCAGAAGCTGAAGCGCCGAAGTAAAGGCTCTTCTTACGGGTACTGCGGTAGCATCGGCGGAACTTCTCATAGATCCACTTGGGACATATTCATCCTACCACCTTAAGTCAGAAATCCTCCGAGGGGCATCATCCAGAGACGCTGGCGAGATGCAGGGTCATAAAGATGCAAAAGTACCCGTTTGAGCATAGACACAGTCTGACATGGCAAGGAATTCCTCCCTTCAAATTTAGAACTAACCTCATAGTGACAAGGATGCAGAGGTGACCAATAGTAGCCGGCCGGGCAGGTGCAGCGGGAGCAGCAACAAGGGCTGACTCCAGTAGCGGCCCAGCACAAAGGGCAACGTTCGTATTCATATTACGGACTCTGGTGTGATAGCTTACTGATCGAAGCGCTACTTCTAGGCAGGATTTAAAATAGTCGTTGAAGCTTTTTTTCTCTTTTTCCGGACATTGGCGTGGCTTTTACGCATGCTACCATACAGAGTTTGCTGAGATGGACTTCACCCTCTTCTTTCAGCAGACAATCTTGTCAATTCTACCGTCTGTTATTTTCATCTGTGCATTGACACTGAGGGTCTTGTCTATTTTACGAAAACCATTACGAGTTAGTAGTAATGGATGGCTACTTCGGCTGAAATTGGTAATGGTCCCCGCCAAAATAATCGAAGTTGGGTCATTGACTCTTCATAATAGGCAGCATGCGGCGCTTTCTTTGGCACGCAGATAATTTTGCTTGCATTATGGACCAGATCCAGTGCTGTGAATGGCTTCATCCCCATTGCAGCCAGCACCCTGAGGTTGATCGTTTCGGCTGCGATTTTCTACATCCTATACCAGGAACATCAAAGATGGATTGATGCCTCCATTCTCACTAGTAGCTATCTTGTGTTTACTATCCTACTTGAACTAGCTGAGGCTAGAACCCTCCGGAGTCGCCTTGGTCGTACCTCTGTTACATCCATGTTTGCCGCTTCTATTGTCCTCAAATTTGTCATCATAGTACTCCAAAATTTACCAGAGCCATCGTCACCAGCTTTCAACAAATGGTATGCAACCAAGAAATCGAGTCGTAGTCTCTTCGACTGGACACAGTCTTGGTGGCCAAATCTGCTCTTCAACAAGGGTCACCGAAGCATCATGACTAATGATGATCTCGGGGATATTGACGAGGAATTCGATTCGGGAACTTTGTTGGTGGAAATCAATTCAACCTGGGCAGACGGTATGTGACAACCAACCCTATTCTTTGGAGAAAGTGTGTGAATGGCTAATATTTCCCATCTTCCCTGGGTGCAGCTCATCAATCTGGAAGATACGCATTAATATGGGCGGTCTTGAGAGCCTTCAAGCTTCAATGCCTTGCCGTCGTAGTACCTAGGCTCTTTTTATCCGCATTCATGTTTGCCCAGCCCTTTCTCATCAACTTAGTCATAGATTATGTAGGAGAACCACCGGCACAATCAGACCCACAGGTCGCCCGAGGCTTGATCGCAGCAACATTTTTTGTGTATGCCGGAATCGCGGTAAGTCCCAACTCTCGACTACAGATCTCAAAATCCCTATTGACCAAAGTATCAGGTCACAAGATGCTACTCCAAGCACTTGAGATTTCAGCTCATTACCATAGTCCGAGGTGCACTAGTGGGTGTCATATACCAGAAGACCCTGAGCCTCGAGACCAATTCGATTACCGAGTCAGCCCCCGTTACTCTCATGAGCACTGATATCGATGGCATTATATCTGCTATACAATCATTTTATGACTTGTGGCCGAGTGTAGTCGAGCTCGGCGCTGGCTTGTATTTGCTTGATCGCAAGGCGGGTCACTCGGGTTTTCTCGTACTGATACCAGGAGTTTGTATGTACTTTTCTCTAACGTATCATTTCCGGCGCGGACCGCGTCTAACATTTTTACGACAGGTTGCTGGTTGATATCACAGACAATGTCCAAGACCGCCATTCCCGCCCAGCGTGCCTGGAATGATGCGATACAGACCAGGGTCTCGGTCACATCGTCCATGCTCGGACAGATCAAGGGGATCAAGATGGTGGGACTAAGCGATTACATGACCCAAACTATCCACAGCTTCCGGAGTTTCGAGCTGAGCATGTCTCAGAAGCTTAGAACTGTGCTCGCATGGGTCACTAGTCTATGTACGGTTTCCCTCTCCGTAAGCCCACACATGGCAAACTAACCAGCTCTCTAGCGGCATCCGTCAACCTGCTCTCACCTATTTTTGTCATCGTGGCAGCCGTTCTTTGGGCTAAACGCTCATCGGACTTCACAGCCAGTGAGATATTTACAACGCTGTCTATTGTCATGCTTGTGGCACAGCCAATTTCGAATCTTGTCGGGTCGTACACGGCGTTCGTCTCGGGTCTCGCTTGCTGCACGCGGATTCAAAGCTTTCTCTTGCTCAACAACAAAGATGATGAGCGTGGGCTCGTTGAGAAGCTCGAAACACAGTTGCCGTCCTCAAACGGCAATAACGTGTGCTCAAGTATGCTTGACGTTGAACTATCACCAATGTCACGCACTGCCGGCGAACCTGCATTACTCGCCGTAGACATCCGCCAAGCTACCTTTACCACAAACGACCAACAAACTGAATTACTCCGTGAAATAGACTTTCGAGTCCCGGTTGGCTCCGTCTCCATGGTGGTAGGTCGTGTCGGGTGTGGAAAGTCTTCGTTGCTTAGGGCCATCCTTGGCGAGCTACACACAGCCAGCGGCGCAGTTCACATGGCCACATCCTCAATATCGTACTGTGATCAGACGCCCTGGCTTCGAAATGTCTCCCTTCGAGGGAATATCATCGGTCCATCTCGATTTGACAAGGGGTGGTATGCCCAAGTTGTCACAGCTTGTGCCCTTGATCGGGATTTCGCCTCGTTCCCGTACGGCGACGAAACCCTTGTGGGAAGCGGGGGAATAGCACTCAGCGGTGGACAAAGGCAAAGAGTAGTATGTCTCAGAACAGATCTCCGGTCAAAGAGTTCAGCGCTAATATTTTACAATGCATAGGGGCTTGCAAGGGCTGTTTACTCGCGCCATGCTCTTGTCCTTCTCGATGATGTTCTCAGCGGCCTCGATGGCACGACATCAGCTGCCGTCTTCAACTCTTTACTGGGCGATGGTGGGCTGCTTCGCCGCAGGGATATCACCGTCCTCTATGCCACTCATTCCAGTATGAAATATCGATGCTCTTTCTCTTCGAAAAGCTCAACTGACCCTACACTGTAGTCGAATCCCTCGCCAAGGCTGACTTTGTCACTGTACTTGAGTCAGGGATGATCAAGTACAATCAAGTCGATATTGATTCTATTGATGAAGAGACGAGGAGAATGATAGGAAGCAATGTGAAGAGAACATGCATAGACACGCACTCGAATGTTGGCTCGAAAGATAAGCTAGGCGAACTGCATTCTCATAAAGCTTCAGCTAGAAGCCCAAAGGATGCTGATCTCCTGCGTCAGGCCGGCGACTTCGGTCTGTACATGTTCTATGTCGGCTCCATAGGACCTGTCTTTGCTTTGGTCTTGGTCATCTTGGCGATTTCGTTTTCCATCTTCAAGAAGATGCCACGTTAGTGAATCATGGTCACCGTCGGACTTGGCTGCCAAATGCTAATGAGACACATAGAAATATGGCTCCGGATTTGGACCCAGCACGGAATCGGCGAGGATCAGGGCTACTTTCTGGGCTTATACCTGACTTTCGTCCTGGCCTGTTTTGTATCAATATGGCTCCTTTCCAGGTGGGCGCTCTGAGCGAAAAGGTACTATCCTTTACCTAGATGTTTGTGCTAACCGTTGGATCCAAGGTTCTTCCTCATTCACGTCATCAGCAGGTCTTCGCAACACCTGCATTCTCTATTACTCAACGCGGTGATGAAGTAAGCAACATTTATTCTCTTCTATTATCATGCATATGATGTATTATGAGTCCCTTCCGTTACTAACAATGTCACGCGATTAGAGCACCTCTTTATTTCTTCACTTCGACTGATAGTGGCGTCACTTTAAACCGGTGAGTTGACTGTCGAATGTATTGCTACCCTCTTTGCTAACTCTTCTGGATGAATAGCTTTAGCCAGGATATGACCATTATTGATCAGACGTTGCCGGCTAGTTCTTTTAATGCCCTACGAGGTCTGAAACCCCAGCCCTTCTTAGCCAAGATTTCAGTATGCTCATCTTCAAATAGACACCTTTAATATCGTCACAGAGATCATCATCATTACCTCTGGTGCACGATACGTTGCGGCCATTATTCCATTCTGCATGTTTGCCCTCTATTTTGTCCAAGCCTTTTACCTGCGCACATCGCGACAAGTTCGCCATCTCGATCTTGAAGCAAAATCGCCCCTGTATACTCATTTTACCGAGACTCTCAGTGGGCTCGTCACCATCCGAGCCATGGGCTGGAAGCAGGGTTTCATCGAGGAGAATAGCCAGCGACTGAACAAGTCCCAGGTGCCATTTTATCTGGTATTTCGGGTCCAAGTGTGGCTGAATATCGTCCTGGACTTTTTTGTCTGCTTTATTGCCACTGTTCTTGTTGCCGTGGCGGTACTAACACGCGATTCCACGTCAAAAGCCGCAATTGGTCTCGCGTTGCTCAACATCATTAGCTTCAACAACACACTTGGGTTTCTGATCAATTCCTGGACAGGCCTGGAGACATCTTTGGGAGCTGTCGCTCGGCTGCGCGACTTTTTACTCAATGTTCCTGAGGAGGCCCTTGAAATTGAGCGCCAGGAGCCGCCGCTTGGATGGCCTACCAGAGGCGATATCGAGTTCGATAACGTCACTTCCAGCTATGGGTATAGCTTTCTATTCTTATTTTCTAAATCCTGAGACTTGCTAACATGATAATCAGCCCTGACACCTCTCCTGTAATCAGAAGAGTGTCCCTGCAAATCCAGGCTGGGCAGAAGGTCGGCATATGTGGTAGGACTGGAAGGTAGGTCAAACCATTATCCAGCAGGCAAAAGAGACAAAACTAACATGTCATAGTGGCAAATCATCCATGCTACTTACTCTCCTCCGTCTCTTGGACCTCCAATCGGGCTCCCTTCGTATCGATGGGCTGGACTTGGCTGTCCTTCGGCGGGAGGCGATTCGATCGCGCCTAATCACACTACCCCAGGATCCCGTCATACTACCTGGGACAGTGAGAGAGAACCTCTGCCCAGGTGATCAGGTAACTTCAGACAAGGAACTCATCGCAGCCTTGGAAAAGACTGGCATGTGGGAAGTCATCAGCTACAGAGGGGGCCTTGTTGCCGAATTAGACGAGATGGGCCTTTCTGTCGGTCAGAAACAGCTCTTCTGCCTCTCTCGTGCCATTCTACAAAAGACGAAGATATTGGTGTTGGACGAAGCGACGAGCAGCTTGGATCGCAGCACGGAGCAGGAGCTGCGGCGAGTGCTCCATGCCGAGTTTTCAGACTGCACCGTCATTGAGGTTGCACACAAACTGGAAGCAATTGCTTCGTATGATGTTGTCATCATCATGCAGGATGGGGAAATTATTCAAAAAGGAAACCCTCGAGAGCTATTGCAGGTTGACTTTAGCCAGTTGGTATAAATCACTGTTTTTCCCGATAGAGTTGCAGTTTAACGTATGAAATTTAAGAATCAACGTACATAGAATCACCGCACATTCAAGCCTTTACAACTCCTCTGAAACTTCAAAGTTGGTTCGTTACCGAAAACAACCTATCCGTAAGGATTTCTAGCAGCATCTCTGAACAACTGTTTTAGCGGCCCATAGCGCCGTACTGTAGAGATTTTTCTATAAATAAGCTAATGGTAAGTATCATCTAGTAGGAATCCACCCTGTAGCATACATGGCAGGTTGGCAATGGTTCTATACAGACACTAACCAATGACCCATTGTTTAAGATTGGCGCGTTTCTAACGATCCAACCTCTGACATATTGGAGAAGTTGTGTACTGTGATCGTGCCATGTCTTCAGAATTCACTCTAGAAAGTCTTCATAGATGCGGCCCTGACTGGTAAGATCATTGGATGCACAAGCAGCCACTTTTGGGGATGTGGCTGATTGAGGCGGGGATCCGCTGCACATGGTATAAATGCATAGGATAATGATGATTTCGGTACCTAGCCACTGCCAGGCAAAAAGACCGACCGGGACGCAGAAGGAGAATATGAAGATAACGAGTATACCTTATTTGCTCGCTATCATCCCACAATCCACAATGGGATTTTCATCCAAGTAAAGGCCTAGAGCCGTCGATTTGGGCACCACCGAACAACGCCGGAGTATAGTGCCGGTCAAATTGGGCTCATTGTCACGCCACAGTGGTGCATTATACGCCCAGAGCCACTATCTTCCTTCGACAAAGTACCTCTATTGATGCTGACCCACTTTTGCTGGATGCCGTGAACCCGTCGCTACTCGTTTTGAGTAATACCGATCAGCATCCGGAGTTCTGCACCGGGGGCGGGGGATATTTCGGTAGGCTATTTAGTGTAGGATCAGGGGAATCTCAAGTTTCTCAGGCTTACCGTGCCGCTGGCGATTCTGACCACCAGTACGCTGTACTCCGCTCGCTTATCAGGCGGGGATTCGTTCGGGGAGGCATGTCTTTTTTTCCGCGGGGCACACACGGTACATCCCATGATATGATAGATACATGCATAATTGCTGGGGGCACGTACCGAGTTAAAGAAAGGGTTGGCAGGGGTATTGACGCTCCTTGCCCGGCTGATGTTTGCAGCGTTTTGTACTTCTCCTGGCAAGGAAGCTGCTCCGCTGCGGTTATTCATTGTTCTTTCCCCCCCCCCCTCCTCAAAGCCTGAAATATAGAGGTATCCACGCGTCAGCCCATAGTGCAGGGTAGTTACCTGTCCAAGTATCATTTCCTGGCCGAGTAGATAAGAAAGCTCGAAATAGGGACTTTTGATCTACATGGTACATGTTGTCTAACTTGCCGGCAGGGTTCTAAGTTTCTTCATTGAGTCTAATTCCGAAGTGTGCTGCCAGGACACTGGGATGAAGTAGTATTGCAGGATCAAGGGGTCAGCAAAAAATGGGGTAATCCTACCCCTCTGCTGTAATCTGTATCTGAAATCTGTACAGCCAAGTACTATGCAGAGACGAGGGAGGGGGATCAGAGCAGAACCCAGACACTGGAACTAATCTGTGTGTGGCGGAGGCCCAAGGCAGCTGGCAGTGTGTTGGGGCGCGTAGCAATGTTGCGTGATAACGTTTACTTTTCTAGAGTTGGGGGAAAACTCCCCGCCCCTCTTCCAAAACAACCAAATCTACTGTGTATGTTCTTGGAATAAGATAGTCTCTTGCAGGAAGCCCACTCTACTGCAAGAGAAGAACATAATTACCATTTGACACGGGCAGGGGGAACATATAAGTCAACACCAACAAAAGTGCGGGACATTAATCTGCATTTGAACCTTTGCGTATCGTTGATACCATACTCGACACCTCGATCCGTGATCATAATGGCTCCAGCCATAGTCGCACCGGAAGAGGAAGAGGGCCCTCTGTTGTTGGACGTGGACGTGGGCGATGAGCATGCCGTTGATGTTACAAACGAGACGGTAGAGGAAGAGGAGACTGTGCCTAGTACCACTTTGCTGCCTCAGACCACTTTGCCGCCTCAGACCGATGGTGCATGGATATCAGAGTCTTCAAAAGTGCTCATCCAAGTATGCATGATCACGCTTCTCTTCGACTTTACTCAATACTCGAGCTATGCTCCTTTGACGGCAGTCTTTGAGGAGATCATCTGCAACCATTATTACCCCCCAGGCTCGGCCCTACGAGACTGCAAGTCCGTCCCCGTGCAGAGTGAGCTCGCACTTGTAAAAGGGTACAAAGATGCGTTCAACCAAATACCAAGTATGTTTAACTCCCCACTGCATGTATCCAACTGGTTTCAGGGAATTTTGCGACGCGATAGCTGACCGTCGCGCACTCAGGTATCATCCTTGGTATTCCACTCGGCCTGCTGGCAGATCGCATCGGCCGAAAGCCATTTATAATATTATTTCTGTTGGGTTTCTTCCTCAGCGACTCGTGGACAAAGATAGTTTGTTCGTAAACCCCGCATGAGACATGACAAGGCATTTTCTAACTCTGATATAGGCCTATTTCCGCAGCATCTTCCTTTGCGTCTAGTGTGGTTCGCGCCAGTTCTGAAAGCATTTGGTGGCGGCGCAAACTTTGGAACGTCAATGTTCTACACGGTAGTAGCTGACATTATGGAAGAGAAGCATCGGTAAGTTTGCACACACCTGTAGACTATTGAATCAGGGGGCTAATGAGTACCGAATTGCTCCTGGCCATCAGGGGTGATGCATTCATGAAACTCTCGGGCATGGAAATGGTCGTGCTTGTTGCCGGAGTCCCTTTAATATCGATACTCATGAGACTCAACTCTTGGTATCCTCTTGGGCTCTCCACCATATGCCTTATCGCGGCAGGTGCCATTGCCCTGACGCTTCCAGAGACGCATCCACAGCACCGAACAACCAACTTTGGATTGCCAAAATCAGTGGAAGGAGAAGCTCAAGACGAAGACGCTCCGATGGCCGAATCTCATCTTGTAACGCTGCGAAAGCTACTGCCTCGCGCTTTCACAACGCTGCGAGACTTGTTGAAAGATACGGGAATTCTTCTGTCGCTTGCCGTGTTTCTTCTCGTTGCATTCGGAGCGCATGTCTGGGCACTACTACTGCAGTATGTTGCCCATAAATTCGAATGGGAATTCAGTACGGTATGTGTGTCCTCGACCCATTAGTCCTTGCCTTCTCTTGGTGATTTCTTGTAGAGGAGAAAGCTAACGTGTAAAACAGGCAAACCTACTATTCTCCCTACGTGGCGCCATCACTCTCCTGCTCTCACTTGTCATTATGAGGATGATTGACAAATTTCTCCAGAAGAAGCTGGGCATCAAGGCTGCCCAGAAGGATTTACTACTCTGCACGGGAAGTTGTATTTTGATCATTGTAGGAATTGCCTTGGTTGGAGTAGCACAAAGCCCAGTGCTCATGATTGCTGGCGTCGTCATCTCGGCGCTGGGTTCCTCACTGCTGGTATCCTTGCGATCTGCCATAATTTCTCTGTTCCCGCAGACGCCCATGGCGTCACTCAACGCTATTGCTGGCATTGCGCAAAGTGTTGGCATACTCATATCGGGCCCCGTGTTGGCTCAAATATATAGCTGGGGACTGTCAAAGGGTGGCTTCTGGTTCGGGACTCCGTTCCTAGTTGCAAGCGGGTTGCACGTGGTAGCACTTGCTGACATATTCTATCTGCGTCTGACCAGAGTTTCAGCGCAAGCCTCTTCGACATGAAGGGACCCAACGGGCGTGACACTTTGTACTAGCTAGTTCATAGATGGTAGTTAGAACAGGATATACTATTGTTTTCAACTAGGTTGGAACTTGCATTATTATTATACGGGCAAAGGTAGAATGTTCTGATTAAACACCCGGTTAGATCCAACCAGGATAAGATTCAAGTTGCTTGATTTCATCATTGTTGGTCATTTTGGCGGCATAATGCGACCACATGCTGCAACGAACTTGTATGCAATGATGCGCCACAGTGTGGCTGGATGTGTGGCACCCTTCGGGTGACACAACGGGAAGGGTTGATTAAGTTTGTTTGTTCACACATTATTTTCGTAGATGTAGACCATCTTTAATTTTACTCTTTATTTCAGATACTGGTCGTATCATGCAAGCCTGCAATAAATTGTCGTGAGGTCGAGGGCATTTTTCTTCCTCTTTACTCTAGATTGTGGTTCTGACTTGACATCTTGTTTCATTTTCGTACAAACAGCTGCATTTATCTTCAAAATTTATTTTCCATATTTGTGCCATCATCGCGACTTTGCTTCTTGGCAACGCAGGTAGGTAAATCCGAACTTCTTTTCCCCTTCAAAGCTCACAGGGATATATCTTAGGGAATACCAAGCCGGTCGACGTGCGCTGAATGGACTTGGTACTCGCGACCCCTGGCCATGCTCAACGCCTGTTCCAAGTCGAAAGACGCCACATATAGCAGATCCTCGAGCGCAGTCGGCTTTGAAGCCATCACAGCTGCAGTCAGGGCGTCGATAGTGTTGTTGACGTTAGGAAATCTTGATCGAAAGTAGTCTTGGTAGCTCTCTACCACGATCTTGGTGGCATCGTACTCCGAAACCTGAGCCCTCGAAACCCGAGCCGTTGTGGAATGAATGCGGTACCCATACCCGGGGCCTTTGATAAATCCAATATCCAAACTTTCGTCCCGCGCCCATCTGCGCGCGAGCAAAGAAACGCTAAATGCCCAGTCTTGCCATTTGGTCACGGTCTCCAAGTAATGCAAGCCATTTGAAATTTCGCTGCGGCGATACATGATATGGGTTGGTACGTGGTGTTTCCGAGCCACCATTTCTTCGCGCAGAGGATACGAGGATATGGTCAACCCATTGAAGTCCCCAAACATGTTCGACAATGTGTGCACGAATGCAATGCTGGGGCTTTCAGAGAGCATCTGCGCTCCGGCAGATAGATAACCTCCGTGCTCCGAGGTTGGGAGCAGGACATCATCGGCGTCCACACAAACGACAAAATCGCCCGTCGCTGACTTTAGGCCTGTATTGCGAGCAGCTTGGACGCCACGGTTTTGCCCATGGCGGATGACCTTGAGATCCGGCTCCGAGTCGAATTGATTTAGCAAACGGATGGTCGTCTCATCAGTCGAACCGTCGTCGACGATAATTACTTCAAGCTCAACGCCGACTGAATTCTCTCGAATGGACGAAACACATTCGCCCAGATATACCCCAGTATTGTAACCAGGAATGATGATAGAAATTCGATGCATCGCGACCTGTTTTGGGGCAGACGTAAAATTATTCTTGATTAAGACCAGTACAAACAATAGGTCATAAAACTCGCTGACTTGACCGACTCTTCGCTGCATTGTGTCGGAGGCGCTCTATTTATGTCCTTTATGCGTTAGGCCCAGCGGTGTCGCTTCGCCCACTACCACGATGGGGAAGCCCCCAATCAGTTAGAGGCGATCCTTTTATCCACTGGCTGGGCCCATAAAGCTTCGGAAGCCCGCTATAACATTCTATATGCTAACGGGCCTATCAATGGACCTATTATAGCATTAAAGACTAAAAGACCTGGGGAAAAATTGCGGAGAATCGATTCAATGACAAAGTTATATTTTGTTTCCTGTAGAAAGAGGCAATCGCCATGGTCACCTAGACTTGCTATCATAATATTGTGTCGAGCTTTCCGGTGCCAATATGTGGGTCGACCGTTTGCATAAGACAGACAAGTTTGTCTTAACATACATTTCCCGATGTCTTTGAGAGAAACGGCAAAAAAGATAGCAATAGACAGCCATACTATAATCAGACCGTAATTGCGACATTTATAAAGACCATATCTGTAGAGCCATGGCGAGCCCGACACAATAACGCCATGCTGGTTCCTTGATCCGCCACAAGATGGCTGCTCTTTGTGTCCGCGCTAACCTCAGTCCTCCTTGCTCTCCAATTGCGCGATTGTCTTGCTTAGAGCATCCATCTGGGACTTCACATCCCGATCATTCCTCCCGTCCCAAAAGTTGGCATGCTCTAGACGACACAGGTCCAAGTGCTTCTGCTTGTCCCAGCCCGGTACATTGTTGAGAATGGAGAGGAAGCGGTCCTTCCTCAGCCCGCAAAAGGTGTGCGCCAGCTCCTCTGCATACTCGCCAATATAGCCGCGCACGACGTCACGGGTTATACTGGCGCTCGAGAAGTGGTAGAACTCGGTACCGTAGACAGAGTGAAACAGACCGGCGTCACAAACCTCTTGGGGAAGCGACTGAGACTCTAAGTAGTTGTAGACATTGACAAGGTGCTGGTAGAAGGACTTTTCGCCGTGATACTCCTCGGCCGACGTGAGTTCCTTGAGGAATGTAAACTTGTCTTTGGCCAGAGGTTGATGCTCGGCCTCCGAAATTGACATTTTGCCTGAACTAGTCAAGGTCTGGTTCTCGCTGACAATAATGCTTGGAGTGGCCATTCTGATCCTGTATACGACTGAGTTCTTGTCTGGATTATCTGTACGGAAGCCTCAAAAGTGTCTGCAGGATGATGTTGAGGGAGTCTGGGAGTGCTGTAGTTCGCCAGACTGGTAAGGCGAACCCCCCATTCCATGCCTATAAGTGGCAGCCTCGAGCAGGCGCAGGCCGGAAGGCTGGCTGGCGTCTTACAGCGATCAGGGGACAAGTGGTTAGGTAATGCATCAGCTAAAGGAGGATGCATCCTTCTACACGATACAAAGTAGATAGCAAACCAAGGTTGCTGATAGTATAGTGGATGGTTAGGAAGCCGAGGTGTAGCTGTCCAAACCTCATGGGTAGGTACATAGTACGACCAAGCTAACCTAGCCTAGTGGGCCACGGGTACCTTAACCTTCATGTAGGTTAATTATGTACACCAAGGTACTTGACCTATCCAGGTATCTAAAATGCTGCAGAACAATACCCTGCAACCCTCAAAACCACAATGCTTGCCAGCACAGTCAGCATAGCGGGGTTGCGGGGCAATGTCTACTACTATATAGTATATAAGTTTCTTGCTAGGTACCTAGATACATAGTATCTCGGTATGTAATGTATCTTTCAGGGTCTTTCCAACGGATGAGAATGGTGCCGGCTCCACAGTTTGGCAAAGTTGCAGATCTAGGCGCATTAGCTTGCGGCACGTGAACCCACAGTCTAGAAGCTATACGCCCTTGGGTAGGTACTTTTCGAGATGGATTCCCATCCTTCTGTGACTGAAGCTGGTGGCCACGAATGTCCTGCAAGAAGGAGGCGAAGCATCCGGAAACCCCACTAGATTTCCCCCGTCAATTCAATACTTGCATAGTACGATACGCTTTGATATATCAATAATCATGTCATGATGCACAAATGATTCCTCCAAGCAAGGCCCTGTTACATAAGGACGACAGGCAGATCACAGTGAGACAGGAGCAGCAGCAAAGTCAACATCAATCAGATGCGACAGCAGGAAGTAGATATGTCGCGCAGGTCGGACTATCATACTGCGCAAGATACCAAACTCTTGGACATTGGAGCATGTCACAAAGATGATCGAGGCACTATTGTTCCAAGACGGGGGGCGTTCTCGTTTGCATCGGCAAGACGCGTCTTGTTCGTTGCCATTGCAGTCACAACAATTGCTTTGACAGCACTCTCATACCAGAAAAGCATATCCGGCCAGCTACTCTATGTCCAACCCTGGACGTCTCATCCTCCCTTCACCCAACCACTTCTTGAAGAAAACTTCACGTTGCCGGCGCTGGAGGCCATCCTGCTTTCCGAGCCCGATGCGTCCCACGCCGCAGATTGGGCCTACTACTACACCTCTGAGAGCCACTTTGCTGGAGAGGGCAAAGCACAAGGTCTCTGGACCCAGAAGAAATGGGGAGAGTTTGGCATACCAGAGACCGAGATCGTCAGGTACAATGCATCCATCAGCGAGCCCGTATTCCAACGGCTGGCATTGATAGACACGTCGGATCCTCTGTCCCCTTCTGCCGTAAAGTACGAGGCCAAGTTGATGGAAGAACTGCCATCCACCGACGAGTCCACGATTCGGACTCCCGCTTTCCACGGGGCGTCTGCTAGCGGCAATGTGACGGCGCAGTTTGTGTATGCAAACTTTGGCCGTGGCTCAGACTATGACGAACTGGAGCAAAACAACATTCCGCTGGAAGGCAAGATTGCCATTGTCAAGTATGGCATGGGCTATCGGGCAGAGAAAATGACCTTTGCGGCAGAGCGAGGTCTCATTGGCATCTTGACATACTCAGATCCACAACTGGACGGCAACATAACTGAAGCCAACGGGTATAAAACATACCCAGACGGGCCAGCTCGGCCCGCAACGTGCATTGAGAGAGGTGCAATGGGATCAATTCGTGAGTTATCTTCTTCATCTTACTTTAATCCACTGTATCCAGGCATATTGATTAACAAAATCTCCAGGTAACGCCAGTGCTGGTAATCCCAGTGAACCGGGACGTTACATTCCCTCACTTCCAGTCTCATACGGAGATATCTTGCCATTCCTCAAGGCGCTCAACGGCCATGGACCAAAGGCATCTGAGATGAGCAGTGAGTGGCATGGAGGCGGTCTGTACTACAAGGGAGTAGACTACCATGTCGGCCCATCGCCGTCGCACATCGTCTTGAATCTGGATAATCAGATGAGCTTCCCAAACAAGGACGTGTACCAAGTATTCGGCACCATCAAAGGCGAAATTGAGGATGAGGTAATCATTCTAGGAAACCATCGCGACTCGTGGGGACCCGGAGCCGGCGACTCCATTAGCGGTGCTGCCGCCTTGATGGAAGTCGCCCGAAGCTTCGGCACGGCGTACAAGAGGGGATGGCGGCCGCGGCGAACCATCATGTTTGTCAGCTGGGAGGGTGCAGAGGTCGGACAGGTTGGGTCCCAGCCGTGGATAGCCGAGCATCTCCCCTGGCTTCAGAAGACGGCCGTGGCCTATCTGAACGTCGTCGTTGCAGCAGGAGGCACCGACTTCCAGGTCAAAGCAACGCCACTCTTGCGGGACGTGATTCACCGGGCCACAAAAGCGGTTGCTTCACCCGAGGGCTCAACAGTCTTTGACCACTGGAGCGGAGACTTGATCGCGGCGGGAGGAGGAGACGCGATCCCATTCCTCGAGACAGCCTGTGTGTCGACTGTTGACTTTAGCTTCGGTGCGGTGTACTGGGCCTACCACTCAAACTTCGATACCTTTGCATGGATGAACTCTAGTGGCGACCCGGGGTGGAAGTATCACGTCGCATCTGCAAAGATCTGGTCTCTGATAGCGGCGTACTTGTCCGAGACTCCCGTCCTGCAGATGGGGGCTGCCGAGTACGCTGTCGCGATGCACAAGTATGTCAAAAGAATCAAAGACTCTATCCCAGGCGCAGCATCTTTCGACCTCGGGCCCCTGGAGGATGCCATCGAAGAATATCACAATGCAAGCATAATCTTGGATGCTTACGCCTCCTCTCTCAAGTCAACTGAAAGTTCCGAGACGATGCGACAAGTGAATCAAAAGTACTTGAACCTGGAGCGCCAATTTTGCTATAAGAATGCGCATCTGATTTATGAATTTTCTGCCTTCTACACGGATCCGCCCGAGTTCCCTCGCCTTTACTGGAGCCTTGATGCAGGGGACTTGGAGAAAGCCCAGGTAAGCATATCTCACGAGCCTCCATTCTGTCCAACATTCATGCTAAACATGTTCAGGGCTGGATGGACATCATTCAGGGCAAGATCAAGGATGCTGCCGATCTCGTGAAGTTGTAAAATTAAGCAAGATTGAAGTCAAAATCTATCCCACCGCGTGGATTCCAAACTCGTTTCAGGGCTCAATTGGCCACATTGTTGGACTAACAGATGCAATTTCAACGTCTGGAAGTTGACAGATGGGAACAGGCACACCCTATGAAGGAATTTGTCAAGTAGCTTTGCTCTGCATCTTACATGCATTGCGCGAGGTCCTGATCCCCATGTCTCTCTCTACTGCAAGACGTGTGCACTATGAGCAGGTTCTAGCCTTTGGCAGTGGCTCATGTTCAGTTTTAGCCAATCCTCTCCAGGCCTGCCAGGGTCTGAGGTTTGAGGAGATTCGGACCCTAACGCTTCCAGACCACGCGCCGGGCGAAATGAGCTAGAGACAGTCTGGAATCCATTCCTGACCATGTATTTAAGGGACACACCAAAAAAAAAAAAANAAAAAAACAATCAATTTTCAATTCTGTGCAGCCCAGATATCCTGCAAGTTTGGATCTGGAAGCTGACAGTCAAGTTGGGCGAGCAAGACAAGTCTAGAATCAAACCAATGGAGACTTCCGCCCGATCTGCTCATAGTGAATGTATCAGACAAGCAAGATTGCCATCAGCGCATCTGTGATGTAAACGTGTGAAGCGATCGGAAAGAGACCCCGCCCTTTCGAAATGATGCAGGGCAACGTTATTTTGAGAAAACTGATACTACATTGGTCTGTTGCTCTATTGGCCTAACCTAGTCATCTACGGTATCGGTCCTCTCTTACTCTAGCTTCAGCAGCTTAAATTGCTCAATGGTTGTCTCAAGGCCGTTGACCTCGCTTTCTAGATCAACAAGCTTCTTCTTGTCGGTATTTTGCGTTGCGACAGGAGATTTCTCTAGGTACACCGGATCCTGAATAAGCTTGTGCTGCTTTTGGGCAGCAGCACGGGTCTTCTCCAGTTTCTTCGTTGCTTTCACGATCTCCTCATCGAAATTGACGCGGTCCTTGACGTAGATGAAGACCGAAACGGCGCTGGACACGGGGAAAGCAACACAGCCGGTAGGGCGAGTATGTTCCGGAGAGAGGATCTCGATGTCCATGGGGCCCTTGCCGCTGAGAGAACGGATAGAAGACTTCTGCTCCAGTACAGTCTTGTGCGACGCTGCGTCATAGGCCTGAATGAAGATCTTTGCCTCATCCTTGACCGCGTATTCGGCAATCAGGGATCGAACGCCCTTCGAGCAGCCCAGAACAATGTCGTATGCAGCCTCAGCCTCTGGGTTCTCAAATTGCGGGTCCCATTCCGGGTATTTCGCCAACATGATGCTCTTTGTTTCATCACCTTGCCTCCTGGGGAGCCTTTGCCACAGCTCTTCTGTGATGAAGGGGAGGAATGGGTGCGAAAGGACGAGAGCATTTTCCAGAGCGGTGTAGAGTGTTTGAATCGCAGAATGCACCTGAGCTTCAGAACCCTCCTGGATTAATGTCTTGGAGTTTTCGATGAAGACATCGCAACTAGATGATTGATGGTTAGTCGAGCATGTTTAGGTTGTGCCAAGCGGTGCTGAGGGGTGCTTACAGCTGGAAGTACCAGTAGGCGTACACAAGGTTGGCACTCTTCATGAAATCTCTCTGCTCCAGGGCCTCAGAAACTTCCTTTGCAGCATTGTTCATCTTCCTGAGAATCCAGAGCTCGGATAGCGACTCATGTCCAGTAAGACCCGCCTTCTTTGCGGGAACAAAGCCGTCGACGGCTTCCAACTTGCCAAGGACATACTTGCAGGCGTTCCAGATCTTGTTGCAGAAGCGTCTGTACAGGTAGATGACATTGATTTCGAAATTGATATCGCCGCCGCCTGTAGTGTAGGCAATGAGAGCGAAGCGAAGCGCGTCTGCTCCGCATTCGGGAATGCCTTGTGGGAATGCCGTCTTCTGGTATGCGGTAGCTTTCTTAACTTCGGCAGGAGCAAGGTTGCCAACCAGTAGCTTGTCGTGGAGAGCTTGGAGCTCGATGCCGCGAGTCACATCTAAAGGATCAATAACATTGCCGAGTGATTTGCTCATCTTCCGTCCATCGGAGTCTCGAACTATAAATACGTTAGCTCTGCGTAAGCTAGACCGGATCTGCGACTGTTGACTTACTCAGAGAATGACAAAAGACCTCGGAGAATGGCACTTGGCCCTGTTCATCCGGTTAGTATTTCTACCGTGTCGAGGGGAGACGCAGCGCAAATATTTGCCTCTGTTACAAGTCGCCCCATGTGCATTGTTTTGAAACTTACAGTTAGTTTGATACCGAGGAAGATCATGCGAGCGACCCAGAAGGGACTGCAGAACTCTGAGTCAGCTTTTCGCAGGGCTTCTGCGCGCGCAGGTTAGACTTACATGATATCCCATCCAGTCTCTAGGACACTGGTAGGGAAGAGACGAGACATGTCCGGAGTATTATTGGGCCAGCCAAGAGTTGCAAATGGCCAGAGACCAGAGCTGAACCATGTATCAAGGACATCTTCATCTCGAATCTATTATCTCATTCGTAAGTCTCTTAGTCGTAGGCCTCTGGCGAACCCAGAATAATAATATTCACCGAGAGATGCACTACGTGACAGCTCGGACTATTTAAGAAAAAAAAGGAAGGGATAAGGGTATTGACTAACCAGTTCAAACTTCCTGTCGGGGAATGCCTTCTTGGCTTTGGCGGAGGCTATACTCTCATCAGTATTCAACGCTCAGAAAGCATTTGGTAATAAGACTGCCATACCTTCTTCCTCAGTTCGTGCCGCGAACCATCTGTCGTCGGTATCAGGACCGTCCTCTTCGTCTTCAAAGCGAACTCGATACACAGGGCACTGATGTCCCCACCACAATTGTCTTGAAATGCACCAGTCGTTGATGTTTGCCATCCACTGGAGGTAGTTTCTCTCTGCGGAGTCGGGCCTGATCTTGATCTGGCCGGTCTCGACTGCTTTGATCTAAGACAAAATATGAGCAAATAAGACAGTGCAGAGATAGATATAGAGTTGGTGGGACTTACAGCTGGTTCTGTGAGATCAGCCATCTTCACCCACCATTGTGGTTTCATGAGGGGTTCGACGACATCCTTGGTCCTTTCCGAGAGCGGTACACTCATGGGGTTGTCCTTCTTATCCACGTAGAGGCCGAGTTTCTTTAGATCCTCTTGAATAGAGTACCGGACATCGAATCGCTTCTGGCCTTGGTACGGGCCACCATTTTCGTTAATCAAGCCATCATCTGTCAAGATATTGATGAACTCGAGATTGTGAGTTGTTCCCAGCTTGAAATCGTTTAGGTCGTGCGCGGGAGTCAGTTTGACGGCACCAGTACCAAATTCGCGGTCGACATATCGGTCGGCCACGATTGGAAGCCTCCGGCCCTCGATGAAGGGATGGACGGCAAATTTGCCCACTAGATGAGTGTACCGAGGATCCTCGGGATGTACAGCGATACCACTGTCACCCAGCATGGTCTCGGGACGCGTTGTGGCGACTTCAATGGTCTCCTCCGAGTTCTCAATCGGATACTTGAAGTGAACAATGATTCCGAACTCGACCTTTCTCTCGTAGCCAGGTACGTCAAGGAGTGTTCGTCCTGACAACTCCTTGCTGTCCACCTCGACATTGCTCAGAGCCGTGGTCAATGTGGAATCCCAGTTGACTAGACGGTTAGCTCGATAGATGATGCCCTCTTCGTGGAATTTGATGAAAACATCTGCGACAGCTGATGAAAAGTGCTCGTCCTAATGAGGGTTCAGTGTAAATGCCACCACTACGATATGAAAACTGGGAGTACGCACCATTGTGAATGCCTCTCTACTCCAATCCAGACTGCTTCCCATTTTTCTGAAGGCATTGTTGATCTTCTGGTGGTAATCCTCCTTCCAATCTTGTACGAGCTCGATGAACTTTGTTCTCCCAAGCTCATGTCTAGTCTGTTTGTTCTTTTTATAGAGCGCCTTCTCCACCACGCTCTGTGTTGCGATGCCTTGAAAATCGTCAGACAATGTTGATTGAGCATGATATGTTAGTGGAAAGCTTACCAGCATGGTCGCAACCGGGCAGCCACAATGTAGTTTTTCCCTTTTGTCGGTTGTAGCGGATCATCAGGTCTTGCAGTGAGTTGCCCAGGGCATGGCCCATACTGTTCATGCCAATGATTAGCCACGTTGAGCTTGGAAGATGTATGAGTCAGAGGGCTTACTGCAGGGCTCCCGTGACATTCGGGGGAGGCACAACAATGACGAACTTGCCCTCGGGCTTGACATTGCCTTCCGGTGTGAATTGCGGCTTGAAGTATCCCTCCTTCTCCCACCATGAGTACCAAGCCGACTCGACAGCAGCGGGGTGATACGAGGAATAATAAGGGTCGTCAAACGGCCTGAGTCGCTTCTTCTCTCCTTCCGGAGTTTCCTCAACGTAGGGGGGCAGGACCTCGACCTCGGGCTTCTTGACCTTCTCCTTCTCTTTGGACTTCTTCGCAGTGGCGGCAGCTGCTTCGGCCTTGGCGGCTTTCTTTTTCTCGAATAGGGCCTGCTTTTCTGCCTTCTTACGTTCTCGTTCGAGCTCCTTCTCGGTCTTCACTTTGGGCTGGGCGGGGGGCTGTGTCGCGTCCTGGCTGGCTGCACTCGGCTCAATGGCGGGTTTGGTGTCGCTAGACACGGGAATCGGTGTACCATCCTGTTGCGGAGTGGCTGCGCCAGCTTCGTCGTGGGAAAAGTATATCAGCGAGGTGCTCAATCTTGGGCGTCGGGCTCTACATGACTGGACTTACTCGGGTTTCCTGGTGCCCTGTTAGAAGCCATTGTCAAGGTGCTGAATGATCTAGTGACGAACGGCGCCGACGAGCGCGCAAGGAGCGCACGCAAAAGCGATTGAGACGACGTCGTGGAGGTCGGCAAAGAATAACGCGCAAGGCAATGTTTAGCTTCACGTTGCAGTAAGGAAAGATGTTTACTTCCACTGAAAAGCTACCCCTCCTTCACCTCATGGCAGGACGTGAGTCACGCTGCGCGGGTCAAGCTCGGCTGATTAGGGTGAAACAGCTTCCTACCTTGCATTGGACGAGTTCGATCAGCGACTATTACAGAGTCAGAACCGTTTACTAGTCATGACAAGCCCCACCAATTCTGAACGACGTACAGAGTAAAGAGTATTTGCATCAGTGGCATGCGTTCAATTGGACACCGTAAAGTTCTGCTATACTACACAGTAGCTAGGAGGGGAAGGCTCAGTGCAATTCTGGCGCTGACTGCAAAATAGAGTACGGGCGCTAAAGAGCGCTAGTACAGCTCTCCAACGAACAATAGAGTGCTGGAAATCTAAACAGTTAGCACTAGAGATAGGTACTAAGCGACTTAGATGCTCAAGTGGACGTATGTAATTCAGAACATGTACCTACGTAATTCACTTGACACAAGTTGCGAACTCTGTCATAAGCTTCCATACCAGTTCCTTCATACTATAGTACGCACTTGAAAGGCTGTATTCATAGTAGAGTACTCTAACTGCCAATAGCTATCGCTGTCCTCCTATACACCCAGCAACAATACTCTTGTTCCGCCAGATAGTTCGGGAAAATATCCCAAGACTGACGATGACGACAGTGTCTGCTGCGTTAGCTTTTTTCTCCCGTGGGTCTGGAAAGCTTCCAGTATCCAACCTGATTGCAGAAGCAGGGCGATCGCAACACAAGAATATGGAAGATTGGAAGACGTGCGAAAATGCTAGATACAGTACCAAAACCTACTATTACTGCAATGGAATCCACCCCTTTGAGACGTTTTTGTGGTAAGACCAAGAGGACGAAGGCAGAAGGCGAGGGATGACAAGTAAAACGCTAGGTTAGTCAGTTTAGAATCTTAGTAGAGCACAACGCTTGCGAAAGGTCCTCTGTAAAGATCAATGGGCAGTACATAGGTTTCTCAGAAGCGAGTGCCTTGGTAAGTACATTTGTCTGTGTCGTTGCAATAGCAGTTTTTATGCTTATTGAAGAAAAACCCCGCGATGAGGAGCGCTGGTCGGTATGTGAATACGAGACAAAATAACCACACTCAACCACAGTACATGTTACATGGCACCAACTTGTACATACCTAGGCCAGGTATGTAACTACCTAACTACCTGCCTACTGTAGATGGTATGCAGGGTCTTTTGAAGCGGCTGAAGATTCCGATGACACGATGGCAATTGTCAAATAGTGGATAGAATATCGCTCTCACAGTCCAGGTCAGGTGGGCTGTAACAGGGATGCCAGGCATTCACCCGGCACCACTAAACTTGGATAAGCTTGATCCTACAGAATCTGAGAGGCACAGAGCATAAATCATGAAAATAAACAGTAAACACATATGGAAAAGACAGTTTAAGCTGTATCAGGTAAGCATCATCTCCATCAACATTATCTAACCGATCAGGGATACAGGAGGTACGGAGTACGACTTGTCATTTCACGGGAAGCCCCACCTGTTCACCCAGTATATAGCGGTGTCTCCAGCACACTAGGAAGGATGTTAAGTGCTAAATGCTTACATAGTAGTGTACTTGCCTGGCAAGGTTCATGTTCCAGGACTTTTAGAGTCCATAGACATCCAAAATCGCTACGTACCTGCCAAGGACTATCTTCTTTGGCTCAAATTGGAATCAAATCTCTGGTGCCAAGTCATCCTGAAGTTATGCTACTACGCAGTATCTGAGATGTATCTTCTCTAGAAGGATTTACTCCAGAATACCTAATATTCGCTTAAGCCCATTGGCCGAGATTCCAGACTAGCACGCACTTTGTATCCTTGAGGCCCGTATGGTGTATTAATGAGACCTGTTGCAATTCAAAATCACTGTAGTCCTTCTTTGAAGTATCACGGACTTGATCGCAGTGTTTCCGGAATCTCGCAACACTTGATCTTACGCCCGACACTTCTTTTCTCGTACCTTTCTCTTCTCTACAAGTCCGGAACCTTCAGAAAGCAGATGGCTCTGCAGACTGAGCGTTTCAGATTTGCACTATTTTGTCAAGATGGATTTCTCTCCTCGGCCAACTGCCAGCACTCATGATGGTGATATCACAGAGAGTGGTGACTCTACAGTTCCTTCTACTCCCGAAGGTAGCTTGACGTTTGATCCTTCCCTAAACGCGTCACCTAATGCCCAGCCATTTTCTGTACGCAATATTTGCTGTGTCGGCGCTGGCTATGTCGGTGAGTTGTTCGATCCTATTTCCTATGGCCAATGGCTAATTCCAATCAGGCGGTCCAACCGCGGCTGTAATTGCATACCAGAATCCACACATTCGCGTTACAGTCGTAGATAGGGACGAGAAACGCATTCAACGCTGGAATTCCAAGCATCTGCCGATTTATGAGCCGGGTCTTGGACATGTTGTCCGGATCGCTCGAGATGGGTCGAGAGAAGTTTCATTTGTTAATGCACCTCTCATGAACCCTTCCGGAGGTTTATCATCAAACAACGTGCATACTATCCCAGCTCGCACGCCGAATCTCTTTTTTTCTACAAATATTGCCCAATGCATTAGCGAGGCCGATATGGTGTTTGTCGCTGTTAACACTCCGACTAAAACCAAGGGTATTGGTGCTGGCAGTGCTACGGACATGACCGCTTTTGAGGCAGTCATCAGCATAGTTGCACAACACGCCCGGCCTGGAACAATTATCGTGGAAAAGTCAACCGTACCGTGCAAAACTGCGCAGCTCGTGAAGGATACGGTTAGTATCACCGCACCATCTACCAATTGATCATCTGATAACTGACAGCGGTGCTAGATATCAATCCACCGTCCAGGTGTCTATTTTGAGATCCTATCAAATCCGGAATTTCTGGCAGCCGGTACAGCTATGGCTGATCTCCTCAACCCCGACCGTATTTTAATTGGAAGTTCGGTCACAATCTCGGGTCAACAAGCATCTAAAGCACTCGCCGATGTCTATGCCACTTGGGTACCTAGACAACGAATCATTACAACCAATATTTGGTCTTCAGAACTAGCTAAGCTAGTTGCGAATTCCATGTTGGCCCAAAGGATTAGCTCTATCAATTCTATTTCTGCAATCTGCGAAAAGACTGGCGCAGATATAACCGAAATCGCGGCGTCCATCGGCTGTGATCCACGGATTGGTAGCAAGTTCCTAAAGGCTGGAATCGGATTTGGTGGCAGTTGTTTCAAAAAGGATATTTTCAGCCTAATATATTTGGCTGAGTCTCTCGGACTTGAAGAGGTCGGTGACTACTGGCGTCAAGTTGTTACAATGAACGAATACCAACTTGGCCGCTTCAGTAAGCGTGTTATTAAGACACTTAATAACACCTTGATTGGAAAAAAGGTTACCGTTCTCGGTTATGCGTTCAAAGCAGATACGTCCGATACACGGGAGTCTCCGGCTTTGGAAATCATCGAAACGCTACTACAAGAAGGCCCGAAAGAAATCGCAATCTTCGATCCTTGTTGCAATCCGGCCGTTGTCCGAAATGAAATCAAGATGCTGCTTCAAGGACAATTGAAGGCCGATGGCGGCCCTATAGTAGTGTACGACAACCCGTACCAGGCATGCGCGGCGTCTCACGCGGTTCTTATTACAACTGAATTTGAGGAGTTCCGCATGGATACATCGAAGCCCCCATCCTTGGGGCGACCTCGCGCTGGGTCTGTTGACCCGAGGCCATTTGATCTGCAGGGCCCTCCATCTCAGTCTCAAGTCCTAGCTCTTCATCAGTATCTGCTTGAATCGAGTACATGTCTAGCTGGATCTGATCCATTACAGCTGTATGTTCATGGGCCCTCATGTACAGACGACTGCCCTGACTGTTGTCCTGGCCAGGGTCACGATTCAACGGGCTACAGCCTATCGGAACACAAAGCCCGAGAAAGGTTGGATTGGAGCAAGATTGCAGAACATCTCCAGAAGCCGAAATGGATATTCGATGGCCGAGGTGTTACCAATATCAATACACTCAACAAGTTAGGAGTTAATGTTGAGAGTGTTGGTCGACAGGGAAGCATGAAGTTCTAATACAAGAATGCAGAGCCTCGAACAAGGCTGGGAACCAGGAGACTTGACGACATCAAGAGTGTTGCATGAATCATGTATCGAATCATTCTGGGGAGTTGGCTCAGCATGATCGTGGCCTCAACTATGTCTTTCAAGACGCTCCGAAGCATAATCATGAAAATAGAAAGCGTGTTTGAAAAAGATTAGATTCATCTGCCAAGAGGCTGCAAAATATGCTCTTTTTCAATTTCAAATATTCCAACACATAGTGAGACAAGAACGGCTGAGCTTGAGGATCCGAGCTCAAAAGAACCCTGGAGTAGGTAGATCTGAAGGACGGGCTGCACGTGCGATGTTTTTATTCAAGCAGCGCAGATCACGTCGCGGGAAATCAATTTGTCTCAACAATGGGTAAGCATAACTACAGGCATAAATGCGTGGGAGCAGCAGAATGAGGCTCAAGACCGGGATACTATATCGAGACCAAAAAGTAGGTAGGTGTGCATGGTAGTGTACGGTGCGGTATTCGAGGGAAAGTGCCTCGAGCTCCAGCTCTGCAGGTACGGGCCAATACAACCTGGAAAGGCGGCAAGAGTGGTGGTCTGGCGATTGGGGCGATCAGATCCACTGATGAGGTCCAGGCCAGGCCGTTACAGCAGGCCCACCCCGCTGCTTGTTCTCGAGAGGCAAAGATACGCTCTCACCAAGTGTATCTTCAAATCTGGTCTCTCGCCTATACTAGATGCAATTGGAAATACTGGGAAATAGTTCTAGTGCGAATCCTGTAGGAGCAATCCCCAATCTTGGTATTTCGGCTCCCTCCTTTTCACAACTGGAACAAAGTCAACTGCTCGGGATGGTCTCTGTATACTATGCTTAAATATACCGAATTTAGTGTATGCCCCTCCCTTACGCAGCCAGAAAAGGTTGCTATAATCGCAATCAAAAGACCGTCGGGAGAACTCACATCTCAGGTCATTCATAGCACTGTTGCGTCACTAATTTACGGAGGGGAGCGAGTGGTCTCTTTCTGCTTTCTTAGCTTGTAAGCATGAGTAACAGCACGCATACACCAGGGCATGCATCTTCTGTAGAGTCTGCTATATTCAGAAATAGCAACGACTTTGATTCAAGTCTGCCGATGCATCTGTGGAGGGCTATTACGCTTCAATCCATAGTCCTTGATACATAAGCACATGCCGAGATGGATGGCGACGAGTACAGCAAATGACGCGAACACAGCGTGAAGCCCATCCATATACCCTTGATTTACCAGGGCTTTCTCTTCGTCCGTCAGATGCAAGTTTTCCAGTGCATTGGCTGATGAAACCAGTTTCGCGATAAGTTCCGGGCTGAATCTGGACTTTAACTGGACATATAAAACGTTGCTCAAGATAGCACCAGAGACTGTACGGGTATCATGTCAGAACCAGCGGTCGTGTGGAGCAGCTAAATCAAACACATACCTGTAGTACTAGTTGCGCCTCCAATGTCTCGTAAGAAATTTCGTAGTCCTGTTAAAACGGCTCGGTCATCGGAATCGGATGCTGCGAAAAGTCCCACAAGAACTGGGGGATTTCTATCAGCGACGAAACATACGATACAGGAGGTTCAAGGTTCACTAACCAGGCTGCAAAGAACACCCGACTCCTACACCGTCGAGGATGCCGACGACGATGAGGCTCCAAATCTGGGTGTCTTGATCAATGTAAAACTTGGCGACTGCGGCCAAAGCCCAGCAGGTGGCTCCTGTTACAATAATGGGTTTGTAGTGTCCAAGAAAGGATATGAGAATGCCAGTCAGAGCCGATGTCACTCCATGGGAGATGACCATTGGTAAGAGCAAAACGCCAGCCTGAGACGGACTGAACCCTCGGACGTTCTGCAGGTACAACGGAAGAACAAACAAATTACCCCAATAAATCCAGCCGATCAGAATGTTAATGAAAATCAGAATATTCGTGGAACGATTGTAGCTGAAAAGCCGGAATGGCAGCAGGGGCAGTTTCGCAAATCGCCATTCGATAATCAAAAAGATGCCGAATAGCGTCACGCCAGCGATGAGCATGCCAATCGTCACCGGAGAGGTCCATGACATGGTAGTTCCGCCTTGTGATATCGGAATCTGTTTCAAAACCCATTAGTTAATCCCAAAATGTGCCAGGTCGGAGGAGAACAACGCAAATACTCACGAGGAACAAAGTAATGCCAAAAAGACTGGCAAGGGCTCCAGCCCAGTCCACCAGCTTCAACTTGTCCCAGACTCGGCCTTTGGCATGCGTCGAAGAAGATGTCGGCCAAACTGACACGAGATAACAAATAGCCACAAAGCACAGAGGGCTCACAAACCAGAACGCCCACCGCCATCCAGCAACCTGCGTCAAAGCCCCTCCTATGACGGGACCGAGCCCGTTTCCCAGCGCCGTCGCCGCACCGACTATGCCAAAGTAATAGCCGCGCTGCTCTAACGTCGTGATATCCGCAATCGCAATCTGTACAAGCGCATTTATGGCCCCGGCACCAAAGCCGGTAAACGCTCTGGCGGCGAACAATTGCAGAGGTGTCCCAGAAAAGCCCGAGAGCACGTTGCCCCCTCCCATAATTGAAAGAGCCGCGATAAGCGAGATCTTGCGGCTGAAAATATCCGAAAGCCTTCCATTGATGAGTTGGATACTTGTGCTAGTAATAAGAAAACAAGCGCCGACGAGAGAGATAGAGGCTCCCGTATGGAGGGCCGAAGCGATGGCGGGAAGACTGGTGGATATGGACGTTTGGTCCAGGAACGAGGTGAACTGTATGAGCGCAAGAGCAGGAAATATGACCAAGAGCCTTTTTTGAGAGAGAGAATGCGATTGATTCTCAAGAAGTGGAGTAGACTCATCCATGATGTTGGAGGTACAACATAGATTGAAAAGGGTAATGACTGCAAGAATGAACAAGACAAAAATGATGACTGTCTTCAGGGCTCATATTTACATTAGAGCCTCAGTGCTGCTACTCAGCTGTATCCATCTACACAGAGTGACAGCGGGGGGCCGCTTACAGGGGCTTGAACGAAGAATTGGGGATAAGTGTGGCATTAGTACCCCCTCGAATTAGAGGCAGAAGGCGGAGACAAGCGCTGTGGGAATCCCCGCCCTCTCCACAAATAACCACTAAAGCAAAATTCACTGACTTGGAAGTCCCCTGGAGAAATCGTCCAGTTCCAAAGGCGCGCGGAATCAGATTATACACATTTGACAAAGCCTTTAAACATGCTTGATTGAAAGACGAAGGTATATATGGCTGCAAGAACAAGGAGATAATACACTATTTTATTATCGACCACCCCAATGAAAACCTAATCTTGCCCGCTTGACCTTAATTCCATTGTTTTACCGCTATCAGGGAACGAGATGGCGTCCCAACGAAGGCGGCGCAGGTGACGCTTCGGGTCGTTGATATTGTTCCGAGAATGCAACCAACGACGGTTATCCATCATAATAATGGTGCCCGTGGGAAGACGGGAAGGGGTGAGATGCACGATTGACTGCGACTCTGCCTGGGCCGTGGCGTTTGCGCGCTTCAGGCAGGCATCAAGTTCTTCGAGAGCATCCGAGGCGCTTTTCGTCATTGGTATCACCAGATCTCTTCTAAAACGCATCATACACGATTGGCTCTCCGGGTCAATAGCCATTAAATTCCCCACAATCTGCTGTTTCGCCGGATCCTTGATAAACTCTTTTGGAATTTTGATCCCAAACTCCTGTCTCATTAACGAGCTCTGGGAGGATTGAGACAAGGATTGATTGAGCCTCTCAATATTCATAGCCGACAGAGTACCTCCGCCAAATCTGTCATGCTGGAGGACTTGGAGTGCAAAATACCGTGGAGGCAATTCTTCATAGCTGCAGTCGGTATGCCAGGGGAATTCATCCATCGTCTCTGATCTTGCGCGATGGTTGGCTGTCTGGAAGGCGACGCTCTCTGGCCGTACGTCCCAAAACCACCCACGCGAGGCACTGTGTGTAATGGGTAGCTGGTGGCCGCAGTACTCGTGGAGACTTGAAACCAGTTGCTCAAGATACCGGCTCTCTGGGTCTGGGAAGCTCAAACTGATCTTGAGTATACCATGGCGCCCGAGTTGCTCGTGAACATCATTGACATGATTCTGCTGTATCGAATATTCAATAGTCCTAGCAGTCAGGTGAGGAACTGCAAGTGACTGCACAGAAAATGGATTGAAAGATGGGGCAGTAGCATTAGTTGCTCGACGAATATGAACCTTTGTCGATAGAGGCAAGCTCCAAGCTCGAGGGGTCAAAGGACGCATCCTGGGGTGTTTGCCAGAGCGTTGCTGTCACCTTGGCGAATAGTTGACAAACCAGAAACAGGACTTAAGCAATGGTACTAGTCAATAGTGTCACGATTCAAGGCACTATGCACGGTAAACCCTCGCATTCTTCACAAACCTCGTAATCGCGGTGTCATAAATATTTGGAGTATCTCGCAATACCAAAAGAACTAAATTCTCATATCGTAGGAGTGAGGAGCACTATGAGATTGTCAGATCCTACGCCATGCTCCGATAAGTCAAGACAATCATTTTGGTTCTACCATGAAGAAACCGGGTATAATGCGTACCTTTGCGTAAGCAATCCGTCACATTGAGAATGGAGTGAACATTACTCTACATTGAGCACGAAGTACCTACACCATCATTCTAAGGGCCCGACTTCGAGTATGCAACGGCAATGTCAAACCAAGGAGTTGCGTGATTGTACTAGTAGGCACGAGTGCCGTAACTCGAGGGATTCATTGGCGACTTTCGAATCCCCACAGTCAGATCATTCAATGTTGCTTGTTGGCCTGTCCCTGTATATCGTACCTTGACAAATACCCACTTGCCGCGGCGTGTATCCGGCACTAGTGGCTATGTACCCGTACAATGTACTCTGTAGTGACTAATCTAGGAGCAATGTGGGCGCGTGGAGCTCAACACCAGGGACAGTACCGCGGTACAGATAAGAATACATCACCCCCCAGGTGTCGAAGTACAGGCATAATTGACCCCGGTTCCCGAATTCTTGTAGCGGTTTGTAGCGTACTATGTACTCTGTATGTAGTGCGCTGCCTTAAAATCGGGTCATTCTAGACCGAAAACGACAAAAGTTTGCAATGCTATGGTCCAAGGCATGGTCCTACAGAATAGAACAATACACAGTCGCTTGAGGGTCATCATTTCTACCTCGTACGAGCCTCGTCACTTTATTATTGCCACTTCAGATGAGTCCAAATGCTGACATGCTACAGGCCTCTGAATCCTGCACGGCGCTTCAAATCACACCGCCGGACATATCCTGTATAGGCTTTAGCTTGAGGATAACCGTTTGCCGGATGGCCGCACCAATAGGCTATAGCAAGGACTAATGGTCAGGATTAAAGTCTGGTAAAAGCATAAATTCACTATCTTACTATAGTGTGAGAGGAATAAAAAGTCTTTGCATCTTAGCCACACCAGCCACAATAAGGTGGCAGTAATACACCAGCGTCCGGCGCAACCTGACATTTTCTGAAAAATGTAAACTATTTAAAATTTGTGAATAAAATTTACCACTAAAAAAGGTTTTTGTTTGGGTCTTGGTAACTCGCATTATAGTAGACCGTGTAAGAAAGGCGCCTAGACAGCTATATTCAAGTTATAACAGAATGAATTCAAATCCAGCGGATTCGACAGAATCGTTCGTCTCTTCTTCTTACCCACCCTCCTACAAGAAACGTTCGTGCTGGAGGCAGTGGTCTGCCAAACGAAATTGGGACAACTCCCAAGAGGAATCTCGTGTAGGGCAAAATAGCCTGTTCATTTGCCATTCTGATTGATAGTTCATACCAATAAATGACAGTCGTGGATGAAGTTTCTTAGTAATGCATGCATGCTGTGAATGTCTACCCAGACGTCATCTGCTGCAGAGCGTTTGACCATTCTCATAAAATCCCTAAGAGCCTCGTTGGTTGCTTCCTTAATGAACTTTGCTTGGACACGAGGCGCAAATAGAAAATTGATTCTTATTTCAATATGAGTCAGGCCTCAATAAAAAATTCAACTAGTGAGCTCGGGAGAGGTTGCGAGTATCATTTCGATCACTCGCAGATAATATTGTAAATTTGTTTTTCTTGGTAACTATATTTGGCTGATCCATCAAGCCCCCAATGGACTCCGTGGTGGCATAATTTAATTGGCTCTGATGGCAAGGATCGTGTTTCGTAGAAGGGAGGGCCCTATTCGACTTTGGTAAGAGGCTGCCTGGGCTGATATCTATCTTGAATTCGCTTATCATAATCTTTCTGCCGTTGGCATTTGTATCAATCACACAGGGGTGACCGGGCCGATACCTGGGGATAAGCACAAAATTTCCGCTCGACGCGGACCATAGTGGTATGTTCGCATACAGTTCAGCGGAGTTCATCTTGGTACAGGTTCCAGCTCTTATGACCGGGAGATATCGAAAGTGTGAGACAGATATTTAATCACCTCCAACGGACATGATACGTGGATGGATCCTCCATTGTCTTCAGTCTCATTTCTGTCGAAAGAAATGTTGAGATCAACCCAATTGTCGCCACAATTTCCAAAAAGAAGCAAGCAAGATGATCAGCCTCCCTGCCATCCAAGTGAACATAGCATAAAACTCGCCGACAACCCGCTGACAGTACCATCCAGATCATGACAGAGAGAGATGGAGATTCCTTGGGTATTGAAGATACAGACGGTACACTTACGGGTAAGTCCTTTATGCGTTATGTCCTGCACCCGAGTGGACCAACTTGGCTCTGTATTTTGCCATGACTTCAATTTGCGCCGGAGCCACGACTTAGATACAATCAGAATGAGACAATTCTTGCTCTACACAACTTCGCAAACGAAAGAGGCATCCGAAAAAACCAAAAACGATCACCCTTTCTATTCCTGTGTTATTGTTATGAAGAGCAAACTCCACCTCTGTCTTTGGCGCTGAGAATATCGGGCGGATGCATCACATCAGAGAGAGCTCTGACCCTAATGGCGTATCCAAATCTTGAAAGGTGGACAACACAATCATAAGACAGGATTTGGTACGGATTGCTGTTCCAAGTACAGCATACGCTGATCTTGTGATGCTGCGGTAGCAAGGGCTTGGTTGCATAGCCATATATGCATCAGCTGAATAAACTTGACTTCTGATTCAAGTATCCTATCAAGAGCGATCCGGGAATGTAACCTCAGTGTTCCTCGGCTTTTGGTGCATGATAAACCCCGGTTGGTGGCAACGCAATTCTCATTATTATTTATAGTATGCACATAGTTTACACTTGTACTAGTATGCGACGCTCCAGGGTTCGGGTGTACGAGAAATACAGGCACAAAGACCAATCACGAGAAAACACAATAAATGATCAGATGATGAATCATTATAAATTTAGATAGACCTTTACGTATGGTTCTCATTTTGCAAAATTGTATACCAAATCTCTTTTTTCTCTTTTGGCATTAAAGTAGAGAACATCTTCCAATACCTATCATCTAGCTTAGTGAACCAAGTCCGCTAATGGATACTAGGCAGCCTAAGGGTAAACGCTTACGGATAGGCACCGAGGGTTGCCTAACGGTCAAAGGACGAGACTAACCATTTCGCTGACTTTGCTAGCTGCTGGTCCACTTTACTACATTATGGTGCGGTTCTCACAGTGACCAAATGGTGCCTAATTTACGCTGGTATGTGATTACCACCCACCACGCGATAAATAGGCCGCGGGCGGCACTTGGGCATCCTTCGTCACCCGCATTCCATTGTCTCCACACATGCATTTTCTTAATCATAAAAGGCAACATGGGATATTCAGAGATTGCTTGTCAGATTTGCGGCATGAGCTTCAACATTGGCCGCCTTCGAACACCGACAGAGCCGCGATCCGCTGCATGGAACTATACAGGATATGGTAATGGCGGGTTTCCCCGTCGGCATTCAGTGTCCTCCTCGAGGGCTTGTTCGCCATCAGCAGGATGCAAGGTCGTTGTCCGCAACCCTGTTCAGGCTCCAGATCTCACCATTAAGGTTGATGAAGATGGGGAAGAAGACGGCGATTACATGCATCGGTCGTCGGAAGAAATTTCCGATCCCTATGAGTACGATTCCGACTATGAGAGCGAGCCAAAGACCGCCATGGACGAGGATGACGATGCCATGTCATGCTCCTCGGAGGCCTCGGACGTATACAGAGCCTTCATTCAAAGTTTGGCTCCTCCTGCGGCACAACCCGAGGTCATGCTGCCGGAGCGCGACGCGCCAGAGGATGACACGATTGAGTATGAACATATTGCCGGTGGACTAGATTGCAAGTGGTCTGAACATACCTACTGTGACGGAGCTTTCAATGGACACGCTATCTCTGCAGAGGACATGTTTGGATGTACCACTTTGCAATGCCTTGTTCCCAAGGACAACGACGGGGAATGGGAATCCGAGTCCGATGATGAGGAATTCGAAAAGTCCGGCAGATTCTTCCTTAGCGGTCTCTGTGATACATCTCCGAGCCGAGACATGAATTGGCCGACAGTGTTTCCCTCTCGGCATGATTGCAGCTCCCCAAAGGCTGATAACATTTTTTATATCACCGAGGAGGCCGAAGAGTATTCTATGCCATTTCATCCGACGTGCCTCGAAGTTTTTAAACGTGCTTCCATGCTGCGAAACGGGGCTGTTGATTACGAAGGGCTCATCAATTGGTGGATCATTGAGGGCGGGGATGGCTACTACAGTTTCCCTCGAGATCCCGCTGTCAATCACGACCAGTGGTTTGAACATGTCGCCGGCAACGAATTCCTTGTCGCGAATCCCTGTATTGGTGCCAAATGGGGATCCATTTTGGCTGCCTCGGATCGGACAGGTGACCCCGACTTTGGTTACGATACACCTGTATTTGGAGAAGTCGACTGCGCATCTCATGACCTGTTTGCCCAGCTGCCGCGAGAGTTGCGTTTTATGGTGCTAGAGGAGCTGGAGTCGCGAGACATTGCGAATCTCCGACTCGCCTCTCGGTCCTTTCACCAGCTGCCACAAGCACTATTTCGCAAGTTGACCTTGCGGGAATTGCCTTGGGTCTGGGAGGCATGGTGCAGTCTAGGTTACTCTAAATGGGTTTATACCAGGGCTGCCGAATTGCGCCGCAGAGATGAACAGCGAGTCGAACGTGGACAACCAATCTGGCAAGCGATAGATGTTCTCGAAGAAGATGCTCGCAGTCATGGAGATGATGGCTTGCATCAGGCTGCAATTGCTGCGTTGACCCAAGCTGCCGACAAAGAGGAAAACGAGCCAGGTCCTCTCCCTTCAACGGCATCTTTGCCAGCTCCCGAAAAGACAGATTGGTATCGTTTGCGTTGTGAACTTGCTCGGAATATGCCCCGTCTGCTGGGGTTGAGAAACAGGCGTCGAATTTGGAAGGACTGCGAGGAGATCCTTGATCGGATTGCACGGTATCGTGATGCTGGAACTATGATTTTGGGCGAAACGGTCAATGCACGTGAAGTGGCTGAAGCGGCTGTCGAGCGAACAATAGAAGCAAACCGGCGATGGCACAATTACTGTCAAGCTGGTCGACCTGGAACTTACAATTTCGATGATTGGGCTTGAAAGCGAGCAGATTTGTATAGGTCCAACAAGCACTGGTCAACAAAGCTATGGCGTCAGTATTGGCTGCCGAGCATACGGTATACGTGTTTAAGTAACCTAACCTTAGGTTAGTACGATTGATTCTACGTCTACAGACAATCAAGCCACATGCTGGAGACCGCACGCAGGCACGAAAGAATGACCCAATGGGACGAAACGAGATAACGGAAGTAGTCAAATACATACAATGGATTGTCGAGTGGCTCCAATAACACAATCCACGTTTGGAAACTTCGCGCGTAAAAGTTGTCTACTACACATCGTAGCGTGAATCCCAGGGTTCTGAGCATTCAAATGTTAGTTGTTGGAGCCAGCATGATTGTTGGATTTCAGCCGCCGAACAGCTGCAAGCTCCACGCTACTAGACTTTTTTACTAGCTGGAGAAAAAAGAGAGAAAAACAAAAAAAAATTGCTACCTCGCTGTACGTACGAGTCCACTATGGCTATACAGGTAGCTAAATGGTGATTGACTGATGACCTGCTTATACTTAATAGAGTCCCTATACCGTACGTGATTTGCCGCGTTGACCACACGGCAATTGGACGATTGTATTGGCTGCTGCACTGGTTAGTAGTTACTGGAAAACAGCATTCATGCAGCGATTTATCTCTACAATGAGCGCCTGCCCCGCCAATCGCGCGATCAAATCTACGAGCACTACCCTGCTCTTTCAGGTCCTTTCTGACCTCCATCTCGAGGTTGGACAGGACTATGCCGTCTTTGATTTTCCCGTCACTGCACCACATCTGATTCTCGCCGGCGACATTGGTCTTCTCTCGCACTACGACGCCTATCTGGACTTTATCAGCAAGCAGACCGCACGCTATGATCGCGTCTTTCTCGTCCTAGGCAACCACGAGTTTTACGGCCTCGACTTTGCCAAGGCGCACGCAACCGCCAGGCGGTTGGAAAAGGAGCCATGCTTGCAAGGCAAGTTGTCCTACCTCCAACAAACAAGATTCGATTTCCCAGCCGCCAATTTGACGATTTTGGGCTGCACGCTCTGGTCCCACGTCCCCAATGATGCCAAAGAGGTTGTACGGCAGAGAGTGAAAGACTTTCGCCGGATCGAGGACTGGACAGTGGACAACCATAATCGCGCGCACGCGTCGGACGTTGCTTGGCTAAAAGCGGAGCTGGCCAAGTTAGACCCGGGCCAGTCAGTTCTCGTGGTGACACATCACGCGCCTTTGGTTCTGGGGACATCCAAACCCGAACATCTTGAGAATCCTTGGACCTCTGCCTTTGCCACAGATGTCCTGTCCGACGATGAGACGTGGGATGTGGTAAAGTACTGGATCTACGGGCATACGCATTATTCGACTGAATTCGAGATGCATGGGACTCGTGTGGTTAGCAATCAACGTGGTTATGTCATTCGTGATGCATTCGGGGTCAAGAAAAGAAATAGGGGGTTTAATATGCACAAGACCATCAAGGTAGCCTTAGAAAAAAGTGAAAACTTTGAGCGAGTTTAGCTTCTAGCGACAACGGTGCTTGGGGTAAGGGTTGTGCTAGGCTGCCGCCTACAGGATAATGTTAGGCGAGGCTTGCGAACTCTTGATCCTCGAACCGTCTTGAGCTCGATCCTGTCTACAGAAAGTCGGAACTTATGTCTATATCGATCATATTGTCACTAGAAGTTATCGACCAAACATGCAACTGGATCTGGTGCTACTGCGCCATATTTACGCAAAGCAGCTTGTTGCTTCCATGCCGCTGCGGCAGGGGCAGCTGGCCAGAATATGCACCTTGCGAAAATATCATAGCCAAATGAATCTGTTTGTCTTTTGGACATTACAGAACATCCACAATCATCACATCACACATGTTTGTGCCCAGGTTTAACAGCTATGATGGCAACCAACACAGTCACAAGATTTTGTGTATCCGCTTCGTTGTTTCTCCTTTGCCGCTGGCCGTCAACATGTGTCACACGGGCGCCGTCGCAGCATTGATCATCCGAGGTGTTGGTTCTGAGGAGTAACAGAGTGAATGATTTGAATACAGGTGATAAGATCCATGAATTCGATGCTTGGGTACACGATGCCGCTCTACAAGGTCTTGGCTCCTAGTTGGTGGTACCATTAGCACGAGTATACAGTTCGGCATGGTCTTCCGACACAATCCACTCTCAACTTAACAATGGTGCTGGTATAATAAAACACGATAGGTTTTGATCGTATCAATCATCTTCTCCACGTTGCAAACCCAATTCCTTTCACCTGTTCTTTCTCTTCTTCTTTTACGACGACAGGAACTCATATAAATCCTAATCTAGTTAAAACAAGACCAGACACAACAGGTATCTGGTCCAGTCACCGCGTGAAAAATATTATCTGGATTCGGCACGACACAGGCAAGGGCACTGACGAATTCAATTCTTCCAATGGGATCTATGTTTTATCCAAAATTTGTTCATCACATTAATCAGTGAATAACTGCAACAGGCTGGTAACTATAGCCGCACGTGGTTTAACCCGAGTCATTACAAATTACATTGCATGAGATGCAGTAAGACATTATCTACACCATCTCACTTTTATGAAACGCATACACGGAAAGAGAGAGAGCGGAGGAATATCAATCGGCCAAAACGTGTATATTTTATCTACAACACCAGATAATGCAGACCAAACTATGTTTATCGCCATTTGCAAACGACCTGATGCATGTTCACCCCCCCCCCCCCCCCCTAACACGACTCAGAAATGAAAGCAGAACCAAAAGTAAAGCAATAAAGAATCCAAATTGAATGTGGCCAAGATGAAACCCAGTGGATCAGCTCAGCTTAACAAACGTTGGTGCCCTGGATGATGTAATGTTTTCCAGCGTCATCGACAGAAGTGAAGTAAATGTTGCTGGGCAAGAAGGTGTTGCCATCGTTCTTGAAGACAGTGGTTCCGGCATTGAACTCGGCGCGAACGGCCTGGTTAGGGAAGGCGGTGGTGCCACCGACAAAGGTAAAGGTCCAGTTGTCTACAATAGTAGACTCGGTGAACCCATCCTTGGCAATCTGTTCATAGATTCCCTTCTGGATCTTTGTGATCTGCTGATCGTCGTATCCAGTGCCTGAGCACGCAGTGCTTCGGATAAAGGTAACACAGGCGTTCTTGCAGTCGCCGGTTTCCTCGCACATGCCGGTATTATCGACGTAGACGTAGTTTTGGTCGGCGTCAGTCTTGAAGGGAGGAACGCAATAGCTGGGGACATCGTCGCGGGGTGCGATTTGAGGAAGTGCTGTCACCAGAAGAGGTGCTAGGACAAGAGTGTATCGAAGCATATTGACCATTTTGACTTTTTGTAAATTTGTTTGGAGAGGAGATGATGATAGGATGATGATTGGTCAGATTGTGCAAGTGCAAAGAGAAGCTGGCTGATGGACAGAAAAAAATTGATGTTCTCAGGAGAATTGTCTCTCTTTTATATTCAAAACACAACGCCAGGACCGTGTCGATACATCATTCGAATGACTACACAAATCCTAGATCTGAATATGTTTGAACAAGCGCCAAGTAGTATCGTCACTATCAATATGATACTTGCAAGCATATAAATCCAGCATAACGGGTGGACAAGGACAAGGATGGCAGATGATGTAAAGCATGAATCCCTCTAAATATATGCTTATTTACGCCACATTCAGTACAATATAGCCTTTTTTTGTTCCTGAAATTTGTTACAATTATGAAAATTATAGTAATTCCAAACTCAATAAAAGATTCATATCTACTCATCATTTGATTTTCTCGCCTTTGTCCCAAGATGCACCTGTCAATAAAACTCTGCCACATATGGCGATACAATTACATGTATCAAGTAGTCTGCCTGAATCATTCACCGACCAGTAGTGTGGTAGGGAATGGCAAAGGCCACGCTGCGAGGCTATTCATGGCGCGGCGCCATCACAATTGTTTGTTCAAGACTAAATTCAGATTGAGGCAACAATAGCCAAGCCGCTATAGTTTAGCTCAGAGTTAGTAGAATGGAGCAGAATGCTGGATTTATCAAAGATCGGCAGGTGAGAGATGATTCCAAACTCTTCATTGGATGCAAAACGATTTGTTCGTTCCTGTGGAGGCCCAAACGGGTAGTGAAGGGCCACGGATCTTTTAGTCCACCACCGTGCCACTCTTAGTTGCTTAGTATTGGCGCGTGCTACAATTGTGGCTAGTTTGATCGACTTCATCATATCATACTATGTATAGAAATTCCGACTAAGTGTGCGCAAAGAGAGAGAATTGAAAAGTTTGCTAAGTGACAAAAGTTCCTTGACATTGTCCATTAGCCTTTACGCTTCGATTGACATTAAGGCTTGTTCTCAATTGAGACATTGGTCCTATCCGGCTTACTTTAACTGCAGCCTACCGTTCGGCCCGGATGCGGTCGGTACCTGGACGGGCATTGACACAATCGTCTAGAACCACCACTGGCCTTTCTATCTCTTGTGCGAACTTTCCTGTATCGATCAGGTAATAATGCTTCAGGATTGGTCATGTGGATACTGACACAACTTTTCCGTGCCAATCTCATATCAATAAAATCGGGAGAAAAGCCGGAGGCACTAGATTGTAATGTTAGTCTACCTAGGGATTTAACTAGTACAGAATGTTAGCTGGAAGCCTCACCATAACGGCAGTGAATCGCTAGATGAGACCCACAGTCCACCATAACGGCTTTGAATCAGCTAACAAGTAAGTAGGCGCCCACCCGCCGGAATCATCCATTTATCCAGCTCTGAGTCGACACAGTAGACATTTCGCGACGGCACAATAAGGGACGAAGTCTACTATTAGGTAAATAAAAGCATAACCCTTTCCCGGCACTCGGACTCGCCGATATTTCATTAGATATTCCAGTAGGTCTGTAGTCTCTCAGAGGGCAGAACGGTGAACCTTCCTACCGCTTGGCACCGTCCCTAGTTTTGCAGGGCTCCACTACTCAGCCATCGTGCTCGCCAGTAGCTTGGAATCGAGCGACCTCTAAACCAATCTTTCCATCATGACCGAATTGGTCGATGGGATTTAGGAACGACCAGGACGGTATCCGCCAACTTTGAAGCGCGTGGCCTGACGACTGGAGTCGCGCTGGATGAGGATGACCTTGGTCGAATTCATGGTACCTGCTACTGAATCTGGCAAGAGGAATTGGGGGCCAAACCTGACCTTTATGTTGCCCTTTCGATGACGTCTTGTCTCCAGAAAAGGATCACCCTGGATCAGTTCAAACAAGGATCATCGTTCAACTTAACACCACCAGGCCTTGGAATGCGCTTCAGACGGGTCATCGAATATCCCTAAATAAGACATTGGGTTTCCAAGCCTTTCGAATCATGCAAACATCGACGTAACAGACATTTCCAACCACGGGATCTCGATCTTTAGTCACTGCATGCAAGTCTCTGATAGTGACGGAGCAAAGGACTGACAGACACTATGTTGTAACATAGAAAACTGCCATGCGAGCAGTGAAATTATCTCTATTAGCCCTCAAGATATTATTCTGGGCTGTGCATCCCTTTTTCCTCTGTCAATGCCCGGCGATGATGCGAGGTAATTCATTGCATCGTTTTAGTGTCACATGATTTGCACATTCACAGAGTGGTACCTGATTGATCTTGACAATGGACTACCTCTCCAGATATCCTGGAGCTACATATGTTGTATATGCCATCGCAACTTTGGACCGCGGCTAGGTAGGAAGACAACCCATTTTTAATCAATCAGTTGGAGTGCAGGTGTCAAATAAATGAATGACGCGGATCACTGAGAGGTGTAAGGTGGCTGCTGTTGTACTTGGATATTCATAAAATCATGTTTGCGAGTCATTGATAAACATTAGGGGCATGGGCGTTCTTCGGAAAAAGACGTAAAATAGTGACCATAAGGCATACACTAGGTACTAACTGGATTTAATCCTCGCCAGGTGAGTGGGTGGTGGCTAGTCAGATTCAAACGATACAGGACTAATGGAGCGTGGCCCGTCTGGCCATATGCCGGGCTGTAGGGGGGGTGCTTCAGCTGGCGGTGCTGTTCGTTCGGATACGACTGTTCTATGCTGCACCACCAACCGGGACTGAGAGATTCCGTAATGAGGTCGAGCAGGAGACAGTAAAGGCAAGATCAATGAAGTAGTGGATGGTCGATCGATGGGGCGGCCTCGCTCGCCGTGGGATGTGAGCTCCGATTCCTTAGAGGCTAATTAGTAGGCTATAGCCAGTCCTCCTCGGAGCCCAAATAATGAAAGGCTCGCCGTAGATGATAAGAATGGTGAACTATTCATCACGAGTGTCTTCTTATGAGTAGTCGCTTTATCGCGATGCGTACGGTATGTAACCCTTGCCAGGGTTTCCCGATCACAACGTAATCGTCAGATTTGTGACCCCTGACTGATCTTTGCGATAATGACGATGGATAATCTGATAGCAAAGGAAGCCTCCCATGATGTTGCTTATATGAAACGCGAGGTGCTACAGCAAATGTGAGAAACATACTCGGTAATCATGGATAATGGATAATGAAGAAGATGTAGTACAAGAACGTCGTATCGGGCCTACTTGGCCTCATCTGTATTCCTGGGCAGTCATCCCTCCCGGAGCCCACGTTTTTATATTTTAAAAACCCTGACGGTTGAATACTCTTTTGTTTAGTTTTATTACTACTAGCTAGGTAGTTAAGTTGTTGCACTGACGTAGTCAGTACCTACCGCAGATCACCTGATCGGATATGTTAGATAGCTCTTCAACGCCTCTCTTTCGTAGATCTGTGGGATCAACTCAGACTTCTTTCTCACGTTTTCTTGATTTTATCTTCTCTTTCACATTGACTTAGGTGAGACAATTCTATCAGTGTTAGTTCTAAGTACCTTTGATAATCTCATGGCGAGGAATAAGCTGAAAGGAGGCGTGTTTTGTTATATGGTAGGGACAAAGCTTACACCAGATCTTTGTCGAGATCCAGTGAACCCACACTTCTTAAATCTACTCATTTTGTGGTTGGTATCATAGCAGAAAATAGCTTGGAGGTGCAAATTAGATATACACCTTGCGCACCTTCAATAGAGTGTTCTATGTGGTCCCCGTTGTTTGTTATCTGAATATCATATCTTTTCAAGACCTACACCTTCTTTCGTCCATCAAGACAGGACAAGAGACACGAACATAAGAGATATAAACATCTCACTGATGTCCTAAGTGAGCGAGGTTTGAATTCTTTTTATTCCCGATCTCGCATTTTCGTTTTTTGCGACCCCTTTTTATTTATTTTCAATATATTTGTTATTATATAATAATGATTCCTTCCCCGCTAATCTATTTCTTCGGAATAACAAGCAGAATGAAACCTACAATACCTGGTGAAATAGCAATAAAACAAGCAGACACTTGGACAGAAAGACGGTTCCAGTACTTTTTGTCTCCAGCTGCTTCCTCGGCGCGTCTTTGCGCATCTTCTTCACCACATCTTTGAATCGCCATTTCCTCGTCAGCGAGTCTTCGCGATTCAGCAACCTGTTCCTCGTGTTCAGCTATAAAAAGAGCTGATCTTGAAACCATTTGAGCTTTGACATTTTCATCAGTTTCAACCTGAACGTGCAAGTACAATACGTCGTGACCCTGGAATTGACGTTGAGCAGCAAGGATATGAAGGACAATCCATCCTATTCTGGCTTCTCGCGTTTTATAGATATCTTCCGGTTTTCTAGCTTCTGCAAATCGCTTCTTTGTGTCTTCCAACGACCCAAGAAAAACGTTGAAGCGGTACACATAAGATCTCAGCCCGGGCTGTTGTTCTGCCCAGAATAAACCGAGAAGTCTTGCATCTTGCCCTGAACCCGTATAAGGGGTGCATTCTCCGGAAATCTCCTTACTGGTTTCCAGTTCAAAGGTAACTTTTCGGTGAAGTGCATCCACCACTAAGATAGTCCTCTGGGGTGAATGGAATGATTTAGTAGGGTGAACTGCCTGCGAGGGTCGCTTTGCGGGCCGCTTCTTTGGCCAAATGCTGTAAAGCTACGGTGCTGTGGCCGGCACTGCGGTTAGTATTATTATTGGTTTTTTTCGTTTTCTTCGTTGTTTTCTCGGCCTTTTGTGTTTTCCTGCGCCCTTTGGACGATAATAATCTTAATTTTCTTTTTTTTAAGCTAAGCTATAAACGCATAGAAATCTGCAATCTTTTACTGACCTAATTATTGCCTCGGTCGTTTTATATTTAATATAACACTATTATTACTCGTGAATATTAGTATGACTCGCTGCCTGAAGATTGGCAGGCCCTGCGCTATAGCGGCCAATTC